AACATTCTTGAGGGAACGTGGCCAGCTTGAGATTGACCAATCTGGTCCTCCTTTTATGACTCAATGGTCAGCGTGATCGAACTTCCTTGAATTGAAACAATGGAAGCTGTGAACTTTGGAAGGAAAAACTTAGATCCGTGGAGTGACGCAATGTCTAAGATGTCCTTCTGAACAGGACGTGGTCAGCGCGGAGGAGGCCCGCTTACTAAGAATTCCAACCACACACCGTGGGAAAGGGACAAACAACTTGTCGGACCAAATTTTAAAATGGTTCCTAATTTAACAGGGTCCGACATACTCCCCTTCTAAAACCGTGGCGTCCACGACATGGTACTACAAAGGTAGAAAGGTTTACCGTTGACACATGACATTGACAAGGTTATTGGTCACCTCCAAGGCGCGCTGTTGCGTCATAAGGTGTTGCTCAAGGAGTTTGGCCTCCAGTCCTTCAAATCCGTAGTAATTCGGCGGCCTTCTATTCCGTACAGGCCGAGAAACAACGTTTGGCACATCTGTGTCTGGGTCAGCTGAGGTCTCACAAGTGGGCTCTGGAACGGGGGGTTCAGGCGTGTCCTCATCATGAACTTGATCATCCGGGGCGGATGGGTCAGAGGGAGAACTGCTGTCAGTGATGCTGGTAGTGAGAGAAGGATCCAACTCCGCGTCCTCGTCACAATTGTGCTCATCCAAGTTGGATGAGTTAGAAGGAGAACTGGTATCAATGCTGCTGACAGACGGCATGATTTCATCTGAGTGGGAATGGGGTGAATCTTGGGTGGAGTCACCTTCAACTGAGTTATCAGCGGGGGATGGAGAATCATCGGCGAGAGGTGTCGGCTCTGATGAGATTACTTGCGGGTGAAAGACATGTGCATTCGGGTCGAGACGGACCGATCTTCTAGGGGCTGGTATTGGGCGGAGTGCATAGAAGTTTTCATCCGATAAGTCAGAGTCCAGTGCGTCATCCATATCGTCAGCGCATGCAGGTAACTGTCGCCTAATCGGGCGTTTACGGCGAGGCTTTGGCTTAGGTCGCTCTGTAACTTTAGGTTCATCTTCATCAGAGGGGAGGAAACCACAGGGGAGGAGCATATTTCGGTGAAGCGTCTTATCTGGACCTTCGCCATCAATTGGGCTCACGACGTAGACTGGCATGTCAGGGCTCATCCTCCGATGCACTCTGTATATGGTTTTACTCCAACGGTCAGCAAGCTTGTGTGGTCCCTTAAGACCAACATTTCTGATGAGTACTCTGTCACCTGCCTCAAGTGCATTCTCCCGAACCTTCTTGTCGTAACGGGACTTATTCTTCTGGGCAGTTTTCTCCATCATGGCCGACGCAAGCTCATGGGCTCGTCTCAATCGCTCTTGCAGGTCGGTTGCATATTGGCCGCGGCTCTTGACACCAGACTGAGAGGGCAATCCAAACAGAACGTCAATCGGCAGGCGGGGCTCACGGCCGAACATTAGGAAGTAGGGGGACATCCCAGTGGATGTATGTTTCGTACAGTTGTAAGCATGGACAAGAGGGCCAACATGCATCTTCCACTTCTTCTTCTCATCATCATCAAGGGTGCCAAGCATACTTAGGAGGGTCTGGTTGAATCTTTCACATTGGCCATTCCCTTGGGGATGGTATGGGGTAGTACGAGTTTTCTTCACGCCAGCTATGTTACACAATTCCTTGATGAGTTGTGATTCAAAATCTCTACCTTGATCGGAATGTAGCCGTTCAGGGAAACCATAATGAATGAAATAGGACTCCCATAACACCTTGGCAACGGTACGAGACTTTTGGTCCTTGGTGGGGAAAGCTTGAGCGTAGCGTGTATAGTGATCAGTGATGACCAGGATGTTTTTCGTACCACTATCATCAGGCTCTAAACAAAGGAAATCGATACAGACTAACTCCATGGGTGTGGTAGTTTTGATGGGGACTAAGGGCGCAGACTTCTGAGGTCGTCGCTTGCGTCTCACACATCGTTGACACGTCTGGCACTTCTTCTCTACATCCATCGCCATCTTAGGCCAATAGAAACGGGAACGAAGGAGATCTAAGGTTCTGTCATATCCAAGGTGGCCAACATCATCGTGTAAACCGTGCAGGGCCTGGTTTCGATGACTCTTAGGGAGAACTAGTTGCAGTGTGTCGCGTCCATCATTGGTGGTAGTCTTTCGATGGAGAACATCATCTTCAAGGGACAACTTATCCCACTGACGAAGAAGTATTTGGGCCTCTTCAGACAGTGCTGATCGCTGCTCTGTAGTAGGACGCTGTCCTCTCTTCACGTACGGAATTATCTCACCAATGGCAACATCTTCTAGCTGGAGTTGACGCCAGTCACGGATCTCCATGGTTGGTAGGGCTGTCTGGCCGGTCATTTGGTTTAACTCGCAGGGCACGACATATTCAGAGTCGGTGATGCTCTCAACTAGGGTGTGGCCGTCATCCTTGTCTTCAGTGATGGAGACTCCTCGTTGCACATTATGTCGTTGACAAACGGCCCGAAAAACTTCTTTGGAACACACGGCATTCTGGCCAACTTCACCAAGTCGCTCACGGAGACGACGTAGCTTTTCTTCATTGGAAAGTGACTCGTCATCTGCTTGCGGGGTAGATTGGGGTCTCCTAGACAACCCATCGGCATCTGCATTGCTTTTACCGGGACGGTACTTGATAACGAAGTTGTAATTCGCCAATGCAGCCAACCAGCGGTGTCCAGTAGCATCAAGTTTTGCTGTAGTCAAAACGTACGTTAGCGGGTTGTTATCTGTAAGGACGGTGAACTCTCCTCCATACAAATAATCGTGGAACTTTTCTGTAACGGCCCACTTCAAAGCCAGAAATTCCCACTTATAGGCAGGGTAGTTCAGCTCGGACTTTGAAAGTCCGCGGCTAGCGTAGGCGATGACACGCGATCGGCCATCTTCATCTTCTTGGTAGAGTGCAGCTCCGAGGCCAGTCCCACTTGCATCGGTGTGGAGGATAAATGGCTGGTCGTAATCTACAAAGCCTAGCACGGGGGCTGAAGTTAGCTTTTGTACGATAGTTTCAAACGAAGTCTGACACGCTGAACTCCAAAGATCACCAAAGGGCTCGGTTGGACTACGAAGCTTTGGTTGATGTTTCTTCTTTTGTTTCTGGCCAAAACGTCGTTTCGTCAAATCACAACCAGCAGTCAACTCATTGAGGGGTCTCGCTATTGAAGAATAACCTTCTACAAAACGGCGATAATACCCTGTAAATCCGAGGAATGATTTCAATTCCCTGGCTGTGTTGGGAACGGGCCACGACTTCACCGCATCAATCTTGCTGGGGTCGGTGCTCACACCTTCAGCTGAAATGACATGACCAAGGCACTTCACAGAAGACTGGAAAAACTTGCACTTAGCAGGACTAAGTTTGAGCCCAAATTGACGTAGACGGTCAAGAACTTGAACCAGCTTAGCCTCGTGCTCTTCAGCGGTCTTTGCAAACACAATAATGTCATCCAGGTACACAAAAACACCGTTATGATGGAGATCGCCCAAACATCTTTCCATGAGTCGTTGGAAAGTTGCAGGGGCGTTGGTTATGCCCTGGGGCATACGATTGAATTCATAAAACCCAAGAGGACACCAAAAAGCGGTCTTGTGCTTGTCGTCTTCTGCCATCTCGATCTGATAGTACCCTGACTTCAAATCTAAACAAGAGAACCACTTTGCACCATTCATCGCGTGCAAAGTATCTTCGATCTTTGGGATGGAATACTGGTCACGTATGGTGCGGCTGTTCAACTTTCGGTAGTCGATACAGAGCCGGAGGTCGCCATTCTTCTTCCGGACTAGCACAATCGGCGATGCGAATTGGCTTGAGGACTCGCGGATGATACCCTTCTCCTGCAGTTCCTTGATGTGTTTCCGGGCATCAGCGTAATCTGCAGGGGGGATACGGCGACAACCCTCACGGAATGGTTTCTCATCCGACAGGTTGATGGTGTGTTTTACAGCAGTAGTGCACCCAATATCTAGGTCACTCTTGGCGAACACATCAGGGCGGCTACGTAATAACTCGGTAACTCGCCTTACATCTTCTGCGGGGAGGGGAGACCCATCAAAGTCAAGATCAAAATCTTCACTACTGGTGGTGGACGGAGACACAGGGGGTCCTTCTGCATCGAGTGGCAGCTCTTCCTCAATAATGAACGCCGAGGCAAGACGGCATCGGGCGGGAATTACTACACTCTGGCAGGACTTGTTGGTGAGGATGACTTTCGTTTTGGCCATCCTGTGGGCGGGTAACTCAACCAAGGAAGTTTTCAGCTCAACGCCATCTGGGAGCTGCGATGAGTTCTCCTTCTCGATTAGAACTTCCAGCTTGGACCGCGAACGATTATTAATTCGCGTGGTGATTTCAATCTGTTCACCTGGTCTCAGTGCTGTAACCTTTAAGGACTTGACTGGTCCAAGACTGCCGGCAGAATTCAAACTGTGATAGTGTTGGTAAACTTTTACCCATGCGTTATCAACTGGATGTTTTCGGATGAAATCCTTTCCGCCTTTCTGCCGACAGACTCGAACCATATCTCGTACTACACTGGTGTTAGTCCCAACAAGCAGGGGTACATCGTCGGCTCCTTGGCGATTCGGACATACAAGGGCAAGGGTCGTTACTTCTCTTTGTAACCCGGCCGAATTAGCGGGAAACTTAAGGTTCAACTCGATGTATCCCTTATATGGGACAGGCTGACCAGCGGCGCCTATCACCGCGAGGTGTGATAGGGGATGTAGCTGGCGATGCGGGAGATGGCGAGCGTGGTACGAAGTAGTTACGCACGTGACTTGCGATCCGGTGTCAAGGAGGCATTGTGAGGGTTGTCCATCGATGAAAACAGGGGTAACGGCCTGTTTACCAACAACACCTCTAGGAATATCTGAAGGAGAAACTCCCTGACACCGCGTCGACACAGTCGGGTGACGCACTGGGCCCTTGGATGGGCTCGGGACGGCTGTTCGGGCAACTACAGCTGTCCGCTGTCGTTTTCCGAACTCTGCTCACTCTTAGGTCGGGACAAACGCAACATCATCTTCTCTTGTACCAGGGCTGGGTTCTTTGGCTTGCTGCAGGAATCCATTCGGTGGTTGTCTTCACCACACTGGTAGCAAAAAATGGATCGGAAATTTCTACCTGGTGCTGTGGCTGAAGGAGATGGACGACGGGGAGTGTTGGGTTGGTTCTTAAAAAACCCGTCAAGTCGGCGGTGCAAACGATCAACGGTTTGCCGCAACTCGGCCACTTCTCCGCCGTTTCTTGCTGCTGGGCTGGGGGCCGTCTTGACATCCTGCGCGGTCTGGGCCATGGTGGTTACCTTCTTCAATGGCTTGGACTCGCTTTTCCTTCTGTCAGATTTCTCTTCCAGCAAGGCCTCTGCAGCTCTCACTTCCCGAAGGAGATGCAGCATACCAGGGGGATTGTCCTTCTTTGCTCTCAGCTGGAGCATGCTGAGCAGCGGGTCATTATACAAGCAGCCTCGCTGGAATTGGCTACACAGCGTCTTGTCGGAATCTTCGGGGTTAATGCCGTCCATTTCAACGACCTGTGTTAAAAGGGTATGCAGCCGGAGGAGATAATCGGAAGCCTTTTCGTCTGCTTTCTGATAAGTGCACCTGAAATTCGTCAAAAGCTCATCCCCATCTGCCGTAGACCCATACGCCCGGGACAGGCACGTCAGGTATTCATGAGCGGGGCTCCCGTCTTCTACAGCCCAGACGACGTTAAGAGCGGGTGGAACCAGCGACTCTGTGATTCTGCTCTTCTTCTCGCCGTCCGGGATGTTCTCATCTTTCAGGAGTTGGTGAGCCAACCGCCGCCAATTTTCAAAGTCTAACTCGCCAGATGGAACGGGCGATTTCCCCGAAAACAGCCTCAGACGGCGATATGACCTGCTGGAACCCTTGTCAATGACATGGACAATTGGTTTGTTGCCATCACCTTCCTCTACCTCTGCGCCTAACCCAAGGGACTTAAGATCTTCCAAAGTCTTTCCCTGACCAGAAAGAAATTCATTGAGGGCCTCAGAAAACGAATCCGACATCGTGCTTTGTTGATACAGGTATTAACAACACTATACAACTCAGTATATAAAAAAAAATGGCAAAGGAATAGCAATGGCAAAATACAGCAAGTGAAAATAGAATATACAAAATACAATTCACACACAAATGACGATCAATAATCAGCAATATGGGTATAGGCAAGGAAAAATGGTCAGTAAATATACATGTATACATTGGCAATGAATGAGCAATATAGGAACCAATAATTGAAATAAACCAACTTCAATGAGGAGCTTCTGTGAAAGATTAATGATGTTTCCCTCGAGAGAAAAAACAATCAACACGTTTGTTTCAAAACAACAATCAGAAGGTAAAAGTATGCAAGGGAAACAATGGTTAAAATTGAGCAAATCCGGGTGGTGCCTCCAATTTTGTCACAGGTTATTCTCAAGCATTGTCTGAGGACCTATGTCGGTTCGTTGTTAAAATGACGGAACTTTGCTCAGAATAAAAATCACACAGATAGCAGAAATTAAAGTTGGTCCTTTCCTCTAGAAATTCACTCTGTTATTATTTCATCAACACATCATAAATCGTCAATGTCAACAGTGATTGGTCAAGAATCAATTCTAAAAGAATCATCAAATCCGAAATATCATACGTGTGACTTTTCAGTGGTGTAACGGTTCGAAAACAACAATGCAATCCAACAGTGGTAAAACAACAGTTAATTGGAAAAGAATGTGAAAACGATAGGCAAAATCTCAGATCATGTGAATCCAAAGGAAAAGAATTTGCAAGTGTACTCAAAGTCAACAACTTCAAATTTGGTGAAAGTCAAAAGTCAACAGTATGCATAGGTTCAGCATGAATAATACAACAAGCGCAATGAAGTCAAACCACTGAAACATCAATAAAATACAACAAGGAATTTTATACAATAGTATAATTATAAGATCTTAGCTGGGTCCAAAGCGTCGCGTTGGAACTCGTCTTGATTTGCCGATGCGGTGTCCTACTCGGATGGGGTCCAGGTAGAGCAGCAGCGTCCAGGCGAAGTCCAGCGAACGGTGGTCCAAACAGAGAGGGTGGTGGTGAGAAGCAGGAACAGGCCGGGCGAAGAATCGAACCGGGTCGACTCCTCAAAGCGTGACCTGGGGACTCCGTGTTCTGTATCAACAAGAACACGTGGCAAATGATGCGAGGGAAAGTGTTAGGAACGTCTCTCACGAGAAAATGACTTAGTGAAGTCCGCACTCGTTCCTAGGCTAACTTATCAAAAGTGCAAAGGGTAGCACTCTAAGATATTCTCGCATCGAGGTCTTCTTCGCTTCTTATTTAGAACCAACTTTGTGTTAAAATACTAACTACAAAAAAAATTAAAAACTGAGATTACAAATAGTATAAGTAAGCCAAAATAGTCTAACAACTAATAAAAACTAAAGTTTATGGTGTTCACCCAGAACATTATTCTAAGTCAGAAACAAGTTCGGAACAAGGAAGTGGTTTGTACATGTGCACGCTTGACACATGAGATTGGTCGTGTGGGGGGCAAAGGGTGATTGCTCACATATTCTCAACCGCAACCAGTCGTAAGACACACTAACTTAACTGAATGAAATGCGTAAAAAAACTTAAACCAGTGATCATCTCGAACTAAAGACAACATAGTGTAAAGGGACTCAAAACAAATCCTAATCCGAATGGGACTTACACGCACGTATTTTGTACATGTGTGTACACAGAGAAAATAAAAGTTTCACAACTGCTCATGATCACTTGGACATGCACTCAATGTTTTAGCCAAAAAGACGGTGTGCGTGTGGGTACTGACCCTACTCAAGGTCACCTAGGGGTACAATTACACAAGACACTCAATCCCGTGTCCGTGGTAACAGACTAGCAAGAAAATAGCACAGATGGTAAAGATCAGAACAGAATCAATGTGGCACAATGAATGAGGGATGGCAATAAACGGCCTCATCAAGAGTTCACTTAAAATCATGAACTGAAAACACTTCAACATAAGATTACAAGGAAATATAGAATACACGAATAACACTTGAAGCTAAAATGCAGAATTATCAGGTACAAGTTATATACAACTATCTAACTGACCGAGGCAGTTATTCTGAAATCAGGCAAGGATTCGGGTTACATGAAAATTGGTCAAAACCTTACGATCAATTCAGTGATAAAAAACCTACATCGTATAACGGTAACGATAAGAATTGGAAAGTGAATAAAAGGATTATAGAGCAAATATCTACACTACAATAGAGATACAGCATACATAGTGAATCAAATTTGGCAATCATATTATTAATGGCTGCAACTCATGCTGGGTGTGAAGCTGTCTCGAAATTATCCATAGGCGGGACAATTCTTATGCTATCACAATCATCAAAATTATATACAAGTGGATTATACAGAAATAAGAAAAACATCGGCTTACCTGTATCAACAAGAACACGTGGCAAATGATGCGAGGGAAAGTGTTAGGAACGTCTCTCACGAGAAAATGACTTAGTGAAGTCCGCACTCGTTCCTAGGCTAACTTATCAAAAGTGCAAAGGGTAGCACTCTAAGATATTCTCGCATCGAGGTCTTCTTCGCTTCTGAAGAATTGAGGTGGAGCAAGGGTTTAAAAACCCCTACTGATCACGCGCTCGGACAGGTTTGGGAAAACTTTCCAATTGGTCAAAAAGCTAAAATAATGATATCATCTTCGGAAAAGCCAATCAGAAAAGGAGTAGTGGGCTAACATTCTTGAGGGAACGTGGCCAGCTTGAGATTGACCAATCTGGTCCTCCTTTTATGACTCAATGGTCAGCGTGATCGAACTTCCTTGAATTGAAACAATGGAAGCTGTGAACTTTGGAAGGAAAAACTTAGATCCGTGGAGTGACGCAATGTCTAAGATGTCCTTCTGAACAGGACGTGGTCAGCGCGGAGGAGGCCCGCTTACTAAGAATTCCAACCACACACCGTGGGAAAGGGACAAACAACTTGTCGGACCAAATTTTAAAATGGTTCCTAATTTAACAGGGTCCGACACTCAGATTTGGACTGTGTAATAAACACGTAATCTTTGAGTCTTCTCAGAATCGTTTTTTTTTTTTAGAGTTAGTCACTTCATGTGAATTATAGAGAAGAAGCCACAAATCGTATCTTTACAGAACATTCATGTCAAAAAAATGATATTAAGCAGTGTAATATGTACTTACCGACTTTTCAGTTCGATAATCCACCACTTATAATTACTTCAGAACGGGCATCTCGTGTGAATGTTCCTCCGTGAGAAAATGGAGGGATGCGACGCAACTTCTTGTGTGTATATCCACCCCAAAAAAAAGAGGTACAGTAAGGATTCAACGAAGTATGTTTGTGGATGGACAAATTCCAATTCCCGCTTAATATAATCTTCCGAACGTTAACAACGTCGAGTGCAGCAGCCCCTACTTGATTTAGACTCGGATGTACCCACAAACTTGATTCGAGAAAGGGTAAAAACAAGAAAGGCGGTAAAAAGTATGTTAAGTTCCACACCCAAAGCAACAGTGTCATGCAGACGAAAATCGGCAGGGCAGTTGTGCTGGTGGCTCGAGAAAGAAAGCCCGGGTGATTCGCTCAAACACCTCCGCAGCGTTGCAGCTTGCATGGCCGATTGAACAAGGAGTGTATATATTTCGTGAAATGGTAATTTTTTTGTGGCACAATGAGGTCCTCGTACTATTGCTTTTATCAGGTCAAATATGTGATAAGGTTTTTGATCAGGGAACCGTAAAATTTTTGCATTCCGCAATATATTGTAAGCGTGGCAAGCAATGTCGTAAAATTTAGTTGTCTGGTTTCTTCGGTACAAAGCTCATGTTTTTATGGGAAATTTGTTGACATGTTTTTTGTTGCATTTTCAGGTTACGGTTATTGAGATGGTCGTTAGACTCTGTTTGACTGGCTTTTTTTTAGATCTTCAAATAGAAGGGCGATCTCGATCTTTTGTCAAGTTTACAGCTTTGATTTTTTTTCTGGTCAAAACATCGCCTTGTTTGAGTATCAAATCAGATCACAATTTCAAGTTATTTGACTGAAAAAATATTACTTCTGACGACCAATTATAAAATGCACAGACTCAGTCCAACATTCAAAAACACGTCAGAGTGTGCCAGCTGGTTGCATGAAACTCAGTCCCATATGCCATTGAGCATAAATTCGGCGGTCATTCTTGCATTCAGATTGTTGAAAAATCAATCAACTTCCCCAACGACGCAGAACAAATAAACCCTCAGTGGTACTTGACGCAACAACGGCGGTCAGGTTGGAGCCCGTACGTGTCAAGATAATTGACCGTTGCTAGTCGGTGGGTGAGTAGATACGCGAGTCCGACACGAACGGTGCTCAGACCAGGCTCCATCGCACCCGCACCCCAGGCTCACCTGCACCCCCACCGTACTGCTCTCCTGGAAAAATCCGGTGTTCTTTCTGCATGCCTAAACTCCAACATTTTAGCGCGACACATTTAATACCATGTCAAAGCCGGGAAAACGGATTCCGCACCGACTGTACTGTGCAATCACAGACTATTAAACGTAATACATGTACATCAACAAACAACGATGCTCTGTAGGCCTAAATCTGCAAAGTTTAAGTCCAATCACACATGACGGTTTTGTAATTATACATCTCATCAATAAAATTGATCTCCGCGTCCTTGATTAAGCACTTTTTGGTTGGTCAATCGAGTATCACTGAGTTTTTGCGACCTGCTCAACACCGTGAGACTCATTCGAAAAAAAACCCCGTCTAATTATACATATGTCATGGTCCAATTATGCTTAGGCCTAATTAAATTTCGTTTGATCAGTTTGCCAACAAGGAGATTACTTAACGTTCTACGTCACAGTAGGCTTTATTTGGACATGATTGTAATGAGTTTATTGTTTAGACGGTGTATGTGTGCAGCAACAACTTTGATCTGATACTTAACCATTCATTAAGGGTTAATTGCACTTTCAAATTACGTTGTTTGCGCAACAGCTATTGGGAAATTGTAAGTTATTTGCTTTTGACTTTACGCAATTACTGAGCTTCACTGATGTCTATGATGACCGTTTGCATCTTGAGATGAACACTACAGTGCCCTCTATTATTGCTAATGGGGTAGTCGATACAAAACGGGGAGCACCAGCATAACTATAATAGACTCTTTGTGTAATTATCAAGACTTGAAGTGATTTTGGATTCGGAACCGCCAGGGTTATAGAAGGGTACGAATTTCACAATCACATGACAGATGCAGAAAGTGATTGTGATTTGGGACTGTTAGGAATCGATCCCAGATGTGAATTTGGAAGAGGATCTGCAAATTGGGACTTCAGACGATGTTGAACGTCCGTTGTTATTACTGACATCCTAGTTTATTACCTGTGAGATCTGAGTGCAGAATCACACCGTGCCCATCTTTAAAGCAATGTTTGCATTGGACTTTTATTTGTAAAACTAACGCGCCTCAAAAACATGAAGGATAATTTATACATGTACATGTATTTAACAATTGTTGACTGAGTGTGATTTGGGATATGCCGAGGGCTAGGGGCGCATGCATAGCATGCACTTAAGGCGATGCTCCCCGGCCCGAGGGGCTTAAAAACGACACAGCAGTCAACAATTGTTTTGTTAAATCGTGCCAATAAGTCAAAAAGATAAATGGTTTTAACTTCCTTGCAACATAAATTAAATCACTGCGGTGGCTTATCAGCCTGGACCATCAAGAAGGCTGAACAAAAGAAATTAGAAGCCTTCCAGATGCGCTGCTATCGTAAAACCCTGAACATCTCTTGGCAAGACAAGGTACGAAATGACGAGGTGTGGAGGAGAATTTCGGCTGACGGCAATCCACCAGAGTTAATCACCGTACGCATATATAAAACCCAGCTTACCTGGTTTGGCCACATAGTGAGGATGGAAAACAACAGACTTTCATAGCGTATCCTGCTGGAAACAGTGACTGGGAAAAATAGACGGGGTAGGCCAAGGAAGAGTTGGGAAAATAACAGCACCTTCTACCTGAAACACCGTAGAGCGCAAGGCAGACAGGAGTGGAGAGCGAAAATTCGTGGAGCCAACGTCCTTTGGGACATGGTGCAAGATTAGATTAGATTAGGTGTAACCTTTGATAACTGAGAGCTCTCCTGACGGACATGATATGAGACTGAGCGGTTAAATTGCAGTTCACTGGTCGCGAGCGCCCTGGCATACACGCGCGGGCAACGCGCGCAATTTATATGCTGCGCAGTGTATATGAGGTTCATTTATATATACGAACTGTATATGAGGTTCATTTATGTGGAACGCAGTGTGTATATGAAGTAAACGGTTCTTTTTAAAGACTGGACACGTGGCCGTTCTAGACCAATGAAATTACAGTATCCACCAAGCAGACGATATGTGGGTAATCAAAAATGTTCCAAGACCTGTGGTGAAGGCTCGCAAGTAAATAGTGGCTTTACTTTAAGTGGTAATTATTAAACACTGACATTGCAATTATTTGTCAAATAGTTTTATTTTCTCTCAAAATCTCGGTATCAAATACAAAACTTTCCTTTTCCGTTTATTTACCAGCGGTTACATAACAGTTATGTGCTATTATAATTTTATCTTTAGCACTCCATACAAAACTTATGGGGGAATAAATCACTTAGGGGAAATGGTAATTTTTTTATTTACATAAATACATCACACTTCATGCCAGGAAAAAAGGCTGCTATAAAGAGGCCTTTGTCTGAAACCTGTGAAAAAGGAAGAGGACAATTTCCAAAGAAAAGTAATTTCAACTTAAATCTGACCTTTTTCTTGGCCACTTCTGAAAATAAAGGATACTGCTTAAACAATAACAGGACTTTGTTATAATAACTTTGCTTTCAAGGGAATATACAGCATTTGCAAACATCAAAAAACAAAACTACCAAACTAATGTGAAATACCTTACTGGACTTTAGTGAATGACGGTCTAAAGCATTCTGTAAAATCGTGGCACCTGATGTGCCGTCATTTTCAAGGAAAGTGGTATTTGTGTATCAATTTCCAATGCTGGTCAGCCGACCAACGTTGGAAAAAAAACTGGCTTTTTTCAAATACTGCCCCAAAATTACCATTATTTAGTTAGGTTGCATTTGTTTGCGATCGATTACACACCTATGAACGGGTACAAGCCAGCTCAGAAGACTGTTTCCCCAACCTTAAAATTCCCTGACGTCTATAAATTGCTATGTTTCATCTTAAGTGGGGTCAGGGAACCAGACTACAGGAACATGGTTGTTTTTCTTGTTTTTTTTCCAGCATATACGAACACAAAACTTCAAACAAGTCAGTGTAACAATATTTGCTATAAAATGCTACCCCCCCCCCCCAAATCTATCCATTTCTGAAAATTACAGCAAACGCAAATGTTGTTTATTCCCTTTTAATGTCTATGTATCTATCACCTGGGTTGCAAACATTTTTATAAAGAAATAAACAAAACAAAAAATTACAAGAAACTTCTTGATAATTCCAACAGAAAACCTTTAACAATCTTGCCCGTTAATCAAGTTATTATATTGAAACAGTCATCTACAAATATCAAATCAGTCACGGATATTGGGATGCATTCTGTATGTAAAACTAATGCTTGAACAGAATAAAAAAGGACACATAACCCAGTGTGGAAGCATTACTTCAATGTAACTGTTATAGAGGTCATTTAGTTTATGAAAGCATTGCTGTCTCATACACGGCCAAGCTTGCATGTTATACTTGCTAGCGTTTAGTGTCCATTAAGAGATGGGAATTGCTGTTATCCTTTAATTAATCCCATGTTATCATGCCATAATAAGAAAATACACAAATACGAATTACATGTTATACGCTGGCTACAATTAATTTGAAAAGTATTGTTAATTATATCTGCAATAGGATCTCATTTCAAATAGTTGGAGATATATTTCTTGGGAATCATGTTGGGTAAACTCAAAGCATTCAAAACAAAATAATCAAAATAAAAAATCTTTCGCATTTTTTTTCTTTTTGGAAGTAGCTTAAATTTATCAATATCTGCATAAACTGCCATGTACCGAAACAGAGGTAAATTGTGGACAATAGCCGATGGTGTGTTGCTTTATGTAGCTATGTTTAAACAATGAGGCACCATGCACTGAACGCAATAGAACCTCTGAACACTGTTCCTTGTTTATCTATTTACATAATGAAACACTTTTACACATGTGAGGTTTGCTCACACTCTCAAAAAATTGTGTCTCAAGTTATATATGACATTTCTACAAAAAAAACAGTTGCAATAAATATAGAACATACGAAACCAGGGAAGTATTGGTACTCTGTAACCAAAAAAATATGATATAGAAAAATAAACATTGGCACTACAAATGTAAATACGTTGTTTCCCAGACTACAAAGTTTGAGAATATTTCTTTCCCCTGTCCAACACAGCTACTTTAAGTTTATATCGTTTTCATATTTCTTTTGTTCTTCATTGGCAATTCTTTATACACTCTATTGGCCTATCAAAAATACAAATCACAATTATATTATCACAAACCAAGGTATTTTCAGCATTAATTTACAACTCTTATGAAATCAACCTTTCTTTTTTAATCAAAATGGAACTCAATCAAATCAAACTTACATTTTTGAAAATGACTTTTGAATCTTTTATCAGTTTGTTTCTTCTTTTTTTTAGCATAGACTATTTACAAATTTACCTACTCTTTGTACTTTTTACAAAATAATTATTCATGTTATACTTTTAAATGCTGCCTTTACGTACCTAAATTGAGAAAGCAAAATAAGGCATGGTAATACCTGGAATCAATTCTCTTCTGGATTCAATGCCCTTACAAAAGGAATAAAAGGAAACAACGAACTCTTTAAGATTTGTCCAGACACAAGAAAGATGCCCGTCATGAGCATGTACCAAATGTTTTCAACTGTTCTCACTTCTAAACTTCATTTATATATTACACAAAAACCTCCCCTTCAGAGTTTTTCTTTCGACTCATTATTTATATAATCCAAACCAATCATTCACAATACTAGACAGAGCAGCATACATTTCAAGACGGCATCTCAAGTACACATTTGACTTATCATAGTTTATACAATTATATCTTCACATGCTTTTTTTTTTATATATTGCTTTAAATACTGAAGCTTGTAATTTTTTACAATGTATACATGTAATAAAAACAGCCTCTTAACTGTTCACAGTAAGCAAATAACACATGGGCCAAAGTTCTTGGCGCTGCTTAACAGTTTACAGAAAAGTTGTGCCTACTGTAACAGAAAATTGTGCTAACCTTCAGCACTATTTCATGGCGTGGATGTGCTAACGGATGCGCATGTATGGAGATTTCTATTATGTCACTAAGTTAAGCAACTTCTCCATGAAATAGACAGAGGCCGTGTTAGCAGAAAATTGTGTGCTTAGCAGCTCCATGAAACTATTTACCTGTTATGAACCAGCGTTCCAGACTCAGCCAAAACCAAACAGAAGTATGAGAGTCTTGGGTTGTCTGAAATAGATTTTGATTTCAGACCGGTGAATTTTTTGTACTTGATTTTCCATTGACTGGACTCTAGTCGCTTCTAATTGTTCCAAATGTTGAACTTTGCATGCGCTTATTCAAATCTTTGGACCAATATTGTTCCCAGCAATTCTGGAACGCCAGCCTAATACAGGTGAACATCTTCATTTGTGTTATATCCACCTGTTCATACACCTGTGTTCGCTTTCTTGTGAAATCCATACAGTGGAAAATATAAAAAACTCTGCAGTCAACTTTCAACGCTTCTCTGGCATGCAATGATTCTGAGCCAATCAGCGAGTTCATTCAACACTCTTTTAGATCGGTTCACGCGCACCCCTTTTATAAAGTCCTTCACCCTGCTTCATGCAAGTGGCTCTTCAGAGCTACTCTCAGCAAATTGAACAACCTTGCAGGGATGTAGTCGAGCCCATCCCGAGCCCATCCCGAGCCCATCCCGAGCCCATCCCGAGCCCATCCCGAGCCCATCCCGAGCCCATCCCGAGCCCATCACCGGCCCATCACCGGCCCATCACGAGCCCATCCCGAGCCCATTCCGAGCCCATCCCGAGCCCATCCCGAGCCCATCACAAGTCCATCACAAGTCCTCCAGTCAGGACACAAGCTATTCAAATGAACTGTGACAAAAGCAATTCTTTGTTGTTCAACACCTGTTACTTATGACTTCACCTGTGAAAGGACTTGTGGTTAACTTATGAATGGACTTGTGATGGACTTGCAATGGAGCCCACTAAAACCCTGCAACCTTGAAAGATACAAAGAAGTGTCCAGAGGTGACCAGCAAAATGAAAGATTCTGTCAAAAATTCAACAGGCTCCAAGCAAAAAAGTCCTCAGGGAGTTAGGGTTAGTAAATGTATGTTTATTTTATACACTAGTATACACTTGTAACAAAATTATTTAGTGAGTTGTATCCAATACCTGTCTTCATTTTAGCATGGCAGCAGCCAGGTTCATAATGCTGCTTCACAGTTAGCAGAAAAGTGTTGCTAACTTTACAAGAAAATGTTGCTAACCTTAAGCACTATTTCACGGTGTGGGCGTGCTAACAGTTGCACACGCATGACGATTTCGATTTTGTCATTCACTTATAAAACTTGTCTTCTGAGGTAAGCATGCCTTCTGCTGTGATAAATGGTTACAGTCTCTGTGAAATAGACAGAGGCTCTGTTAGCAGAAATTGTGTGCCTAGAGGTGCCATGAAATCGATCAAAATCCTAACTTGTGAGTCGTTGGACAGCTTTACTGATGGTCAATCGATGGCCCATCCTACCCACGCCCAGCTCCTGCAGGTCGTCCTTGGTCAGAGCGGACAGGTGTTCCCCAGCAATTTCGTTCTCTTCAAAGCTAGGCCGGTGCTCGCTGAGATTCAGGCTGGTCAGCCAGAGGCCAACGTCTTGCGCTGTCCACTCCAGGAGCGGTTTGGTCTTCCATCCTTCAGCCCCGTCATTCTGATTGGCATTGGTACCTTCAGAAAGGAAGATGTAACCATGATGTATTACCTTTATACGCTGAAGAGGATGCCAAAATGTACTTCAGAGATACTAATAAGCAGAGACATGATAGGGGAGTCAGATTGGTGCAACGGTACTTTTCTCGCCTTCAATCGCTGTGACTCGGGTTCGATTCCCGTCTGAGCCAATATGTGGATTGGGTTTTCAGTCCCTACCTGATTCCGTGGGTTTTCCCTAGAATATAATTCCGGGTTTTTCCTCACACCTCTGAAACTGCGATTTCTTCTCACTGTCTTCTTTCTACAGGTTTCTTCAAGCTTTCGAGCTACAGTGCCTAGGGCGCTTTTGAGGAATCCTTGGTTCCATCACCAGAAATAATTAATAACAATAATTACATGCGTGTGTTTTTCTTATCAAATTCTAATAAACCCGAGATATCTCTCGGGGCTCTTATCCATACCTGGCGCCCATGAGAAAGCGCACATGTAAACAAAGCATGACATCATTAGTTTTTAGGTCTATCGTCCCACTAAGTCAAGTAATTACAAGTCAATGAAGAGTCTCCAGCCTCAGATCTTCTGTTCTCAGATCAAGAGTCGACAATTAAAATCAGCTGTGTCAAAAGAATTCCTTTAGCATTGTTCTGCCCCTGTTACTTGTAACTGATTTGATTACAATTCTTTGTATTTCTTTATGCTTATAACTGATCAGCACCTGTATTACATTTGTATTACATTGTGTTTATTCACTGAAGAATCTGTAAAGCCATACAGTGCTCAGGTGGTCTCTGGCTCTACAGTAATAGGCGGGGCGGTTGCGGGAGCTACAAGTGACTGAAGAGTTTAAGGCAAAATTTTGCTAGCACATCCATCTCAGAGTTTGGAAACAGAATCAGTTTTTTCCAATGAAAAGAATCCTTTCTATTGTATAACTCTCAATAAGGATTGTTTGGTTTGGGACTTGCATCCTTCCAACACTGTAATATATTCTGTTGAAGGAATTTATTTACAATTGACTCAGGCATTTTCTCGCAGGATTCACAGGATTCGTGTTAGTTACGTAGGATATTTAACAAAAATAGCATCAATTATGTTTCTGCAGTTGATACAGCAGTGACGGCCAATTTTCGGGACCACATTCTTAAAGACACTATTTTTTTTCCTTACCTTGTTCAGTCCACGCACTCAGCATACTCTGCTTGTTATCAACCTCTGAAGACGGAGCGCTGTTTATCATCAAGCTTCCTACATTGTCCAGGGTCTCACTAGACGGGGGTGAGGTGTCATCTTCCAACGGTTGAGGCTTTCTCTTCGGTTTTGGCAAGACTTTAGGGGATGGCTTGGTGTTTTTGAAGGTCAAGGTGGAGTTGGAAGAGGATGATGAGGTGGATTTCATGGTGTTGGTCCTGGCGTCGTCCTCGTCTTGTTCAAAGATGTCGCTGCTTGGCTCTGTTGACATGGTGCTGTAGCTGGACATGGTAGACATGGAAGACATGGAGGAGACCACGCTGGCTGTGTCGAAGGATCTCTCTCGGCGGTGGTCTCCAAGAGGAGGTAATTGTGGAGAGGAGTCGGAATCAGCGTGGCCATTTGCTTGATGACTGTCGGAGTTTGGGAGCCCTGCTGTGATGTCGGTGAAGTCTCCTTCATTCTCTTTGACCGGCGACAACGGGTGCTTGTAGACATCTGGTTTTGGGTTCTTGTCAAAGCTGTGCTTGAGAGCTTGAACGGAAATGTCAGTATCCTGTGCTGCCGGTGTGCTCTCAGCAACCTTCTCTCTGGGAGACTGGGAAGCAGGACTGCTTGGTTTGCTGCTGTCTCCGCGAGGAACAATCTTGATGGCATTTTTGTGACCAGCGAAGGAATTTACTTGTTCTTTGACCGGGGGTTTGCTTGCCAAGCGATACTGCATCACAGCAGCTGCTTGAGCTATGTCGGCTCCATTGATGCTCGATTGGACTTTGTGTTCTACAGAGTCTTTCTTTTCAGATTCAATTTTAGTACTTCCCTCGGAGCTCGTTGACTGAGAGTCACTGTCCTCCGACATCTGCTTCTCAATGGTTGACCGTCTCTTTGCGATGGCCGTCAAGAGAGCTTGGTTGGCAGAACTTCCCTTGGCAGAATCCGCCTGCTTGTACTTGCGGATTTTACTCTCAATGTTCTCACCAGGCCCTTTAGTGGCATCCAGATGTGCCTTGCGTCTTGCTATAGCTTCATTCAGTGCTAACTGGGGTGAGCCCTGTGATGCCGTGGTTTCCGCATTCTGATTTCTGTTCTGATTCTCTCCACTTAGACTCTGATCTCGTGCTGCCAGTGCAAGCTGCAGTGGTGACTTAGCTTCCAAGGAATCAAAGCTGTTGGCTTTTCTCAATTTCTCCCTTTTGGCAGCTGCTTCAGCAATGGCATTTGTGAACTGGGAATTATCTGCTGTATCGGGACCAGGGGACGCTTGAAACTGCAGAGATTGTGAGATGTCAAGGGAAGAGGGTCTTGACGCTTCGGATGAATTTGATCTCGACAGGTTTCCATCGCTGATTGAGGAATCTCTGCGTGGGACAGGCGGAGGGGGCTTGTTGGGTCGATTCTGACCTGTGCTCATCCGTCTCTCACTCAGGGACAATTCAGTTTTAAGATTGTGCAGGGATTGGGACCGAGCTCTGAGATTAATATTAGGATGCTGGGGCGCAGGATAATTGGGAGCAGGTGGAATGGATGGGGCCGGGTAATCTGGTGCCGGTGGTAGTAAATTAGGGTCCATTGGGGAAGTGACGTCTGAATAGGTATGATCAGCCCTCGTGTATATTCCACTATCGTTGGACACCGTTGTCGTGTAGGAATAAGATGATGCCGGGGAAGACCGTAACGATGACACAGCGGAATCCGACCCGGCTGAATTCCTCCGCTTCTGCTTCTCGTACATGTCATCATCAAACTGCGTCTGCGTTTCCATGGTGGTCGTATCCATTGGCGACACAGCCAAGGCCGCTGAGGGGAAATTGGTTTTGACCGAGGACATCCTGGCGACGGTGTTGAATCGGAATGCGGAGGGCGCCAGGGGAATGACGGGTTTCTTGAGGCTGGTTCGATGTTCCTCCGGAGTGCTGGTGGTAGGAGCGCTTGCTTGTCTCTGGAAGACGCCACTCAGATGCTCCGGGCTGATTTTCTGGGAGACTGGTCTCTTGCGGATGGAGGCAAATGGAGATTCCGTCTGGTCTTCAGTTGGTGTCTCTGCTTTTGCAATGGCCTCATCTAATACATCTGAAATCCAAACAAGAACAGGGAGTTAAGTTGGGGCTAGGTTAATTCATACTTTCCCTGGCTTCCATCTCTGCAAAGCAGATTCGAATCCCACTTTGGCCGTTAGGATTACAATACACAAAAAAAGGGTTGCTGAAAAAGGAAGATTCAATTAAGGAGACGACCAGGGGGAAGGGAGATAAAAGGAAGAGCAAGATAAGAAAAGTGACTCCTTACTGATTGCTTGCAGCTCTTGCTGAACCTTCTCTGCTTTCGTTTTGGTCAAGGATGCATGAGATGTCGGTGCTACAAAAATAATATAAAAATTTAACAGTTATTTTCAATGAACAATTTTTGACTCAGTAACAAATTCTTAAAAAAACACAAAATCTCTCAAACTCAAGATACATGTATTTCAGTAGAATTATTTGCAATGGACCATTCTGGAAAATGTATAAAATCTTCAAAACTACCAGCATCATAACCTCAAATGAGGTATCAAATTAAAGGGGACAAGACGACCTTTGATTTGAGTGGTGCGCCAGTGCGATATAAAGTGGTTAAGTGTGAGCCGGGCAGTGCTATCTAATAGGATTACCCTGTAATGCCTATGATGGGGCTAAATACTGCCCATTGTGTATGCAGTTACATGGAAAGACCTCCAGTGAATATTGCCATGCAGGTTCTGGGACTATCTTTTCTAGGGATGCCTTGTCTGGTTGAAAATATCGGACATGAAATTAATCCCTCAGTGTAGGAGTTTTTATACTCACGTTTTCTTCGGAGAGAATTACTCTTGGCCTCGTTGAGCCACACCAGAGCTTTGGAATTGGGCATCGTGACCACCTTCATGACGATAGTATCTGGTGAATTGATGACCAGGCTGACTACGTATTGGTGAGGGGCAGTTGTTACATTTTGGCTATTTATCTGAGGAAGGAAATGACATCATCAAAAATGAAATTAAATGGTAAAATATAAGAAGGTTATCAAGAAAGATTTTTTCTGAGTCTTTTTTTCTCTAAGGTTTTCCTGTTGGTTTTTTCAATGAGTGCAAGTTTGTTTAACCCTGCCCCTAACACCCTGGGATGTGTGAAAATTCATAGTAGTATAAGAGGATTCTGGACTGTTTTGGTTGTAAGTTATAACTGAATTGGACATTAATTTTCTGTCTCCTATGAAATCAGATGTCATTCCACAAACAATATTAACTCAGCTGATTTACATGCTGATAAAACATGACTTAAGGTTGGTTCTTTCTTGGCACCAAAGTGAACGTAACTTTCTGCAAGTTTCTACACTGTGAAGTTGAATATTGTTCATATCGGGTGCAATTTGATGCAAATGTTTTGCGACATCAAATTCACCTTCACGCGGAGTATTATCAGGCTTTTACTAAGATAAAATCACCCAATGATTCTGATTAATTGATTAATTCTTGAAAACATAAAAGTCCGTACCTCCAAGACAAAGTCTCCTTTCTTGAGACCAGCTTTATCGGCAGGGCTTCCCTTGTCGACATGTTCTAGGTACTGAAGAGCTGGGAACTCCTTGGTTGGTTTGAAAGCCGACGTAGCACCTTGCGGACCTGAGAATTAAACATCACAATCATCGATAATCAATTTCTATGAAAATTTTTATGCGTTTGTTCCTTCATTGAGTGCATTACAGGTCCTCACAAGCCAATGACCACTAATCCAAGTCAATTCACAAGTATTTCAGATGAAATGTGACAAAATCATTCCTTAGTTATTGTTCATCCCCTGATACTTGCGACTGGACTTGTGATTTACTTGTGACTAGACTTGTGACGGACATGTAACTCACTAGACTATTATTCCATAAAAAAATCTGCTCATCATCTTATGGTCTTTTTTATTAGCACTGAGAGGTTTTAGACTCTACAGAGTACATGGACATTGCAATGGAGATCTATGCTCCCAGTTACATGTATACGCAGGTCTGCCTTAGATATCGTCTCAATTACTCGGATGCAGCAGGCAGTTTCACAGATGATTCAGCTGCTTCCATAGCCGTGGAATTGCCAGACCTAGCCAAGAAATACTGAATTTTTTACTTTAATTGGATTTTTTTACTTGAATGGTGGAGAATGGCAGAAAACCAGGCTTTTACTTGACAGTCTACTGTGGATTAGCATTTCTGATGTGGCCTTACTGCCAGGCGATCATGTTATCACTCATAGAAGATAATTCTTTCCGAATTTCTCTCCCAGAGAAATCTGTGTTTCAAAGTAGTTTGACACTTGCTACAATTTACTCTTATTTTGTGACGGAAGGCTCACATTATGTGACAAGCCTTTGAACTGGTGTCCCTTGTTGTCTGTCTATTGTTTCAGTTTACATCCTTCAAAAAGAGAGAACGTTTCTAATTTCAAAACCCAACTTACTCTTTGCGCCCCGTAGGATGAAGCCGAATCCTTTTTTCTTTCTCTCCACAAACACAACTCTTGGTTCTGCTTCCTCTGACTTTGCTGTTGAACTAGAATGCAAAATACAACAAAAAATACAATGTGAATACCAATCCGAATCATTGAAGACCAATAATAATTGTGACTTGTGAATAATGATTATAATCACACATACTGACACCTGCAAGATCAATAAATCACCATAGGTTCAAGTGGTTTTCTTTGTTCATGAAAAAAAAGAGGTTTTCTTTGTTCATTTGCTCAGTGTCATTTACTTTAAAAGTCATTTCCAATCTAAACGACATTTGCACTACATCAAGTGCACACCGGGACTACTGTTCAACTAGAAACTTACACCTGCGCACTAATAGCAATGTGAGAAGGTCTCTAGTCAAACAATGGTCAAAACATCATCATTAAAGGGACATTTGACGGGGCCTTTGAGATGTAGAATTATACCATACCTCTCCGGATAGTTGGCTTTTCTCTCCCTCATTGTCTGAGCTCTCTCCTTGCCGGTGACCTCCCGGATGCAGTTGGAGGGAAACCAACCCCTGGAGTTACCCACTTCACCCTCCCAGAAGTTGAACTCGCCGATGCCATGAACTGAAACGATAAAATAACAAAGTGTTGTTAAGACAGTAAGGGTATACAGTTGGGTTTTTTTTTAAAATAATTTCAAATACAGGAATCATTTTGCATATAACTCAACTTTAAAATCAGTGAACTTTTTGAGAACGCTTTTTGGCGTGTTATTTAAATTTTGGCAAACGTGTGATTTTAGATTTAACACTTACTTCAGACAGCCGTACTAGAGTGGCTTCAAACCAAATAGTATTGGAGCAACTCGGGTCGAACCAAATAGATTTTTGTACATTTTGATTTCGGACAGGGGAACTTCATGTATTAATTTTTCCATTGCCTAGACTTGAGTCATTCCAAACGACCCCAACAGTGGATCTTTCTACATGTATGTAGTACGTCCTAGCTGTTTCAAACATCAAACTTTACATGTAATTATTGGCATCTAGAATCATTTACGCTTCATACATTTTGTTCATTTTTAATAATAACACCACCTAAAATCCAAATAAGAATGTTCAAAACCTAACCTGTTGAAGTTTCAGCTCAGCACAGCATTACGAAAAAACAATGAAAAACCATGCACAAAATTTTGATCACAAAAAACGATTTCATCTATAGCACTCTTTATTTCCAAAAATCAGTCAACTGACTAATCGCTGGAAATCACCTACATTGCTTGATTTCTTCTAATGACAGCAAACAAGACAGAATAATTTCACGGGGTGTTTAGTACCAGTATGATCTTTAATCCAAATTAGCTTTTTGATAATAATCTGGTGGGTTACTGTTGGGACTAATGCAAATGATCCAATATGCCTGTAATTTGTATTGTTGGAACAATTTGGGGGTATGGCAGTATTGCCCCTCAAGTGTCCTTCAACTCTGTCTGTTTTACCGTTGAGGGCGTCTTACACAAGGAGTCCATTCACTGTTACGGTCAACTTACCTTTGACATAATCCCCTTTCATAAGCGTCAATTCTCCAAACTCCTGCGCTGTATAGGGCTTGAAACAGATGTACTGTTTGCTAGACTTGGCATCCTTGATTTTCCGATGGACCATGCGTGCGACAGCTGCAGACCGGCCCATGGAACCCACAGAACCAGACCTCTGGGGTGTGCCGGGCTCTGTTCAACGTAGTGGGAAATAACAACAGTTACAAAATGTCAGGGATGTATTTACTTATCCAGGGTTTAAAGTATGCCCAGGGATGACATTGTCAATTTCCAAAAAAGTCTGAAAATTGGATGAATGGTCTGAAAGATGCATTTCTTTCTATAGTGATCATATCTTTCTCTCAGATTCAAAAAGTCTGATTTCAGACAGAAGTCTGAAAAATCTTATGCCTAAGTATGCCTCAACAGATAACAACTGGTTTCCATTAGGGGCCTGCATACAATAGAAAATTGTACATCCTATTTAACACTTAATTATAGTAAAAGTATGACAACAGTAAAGAAAGGAATGATGCAGAACATGATAACATTAAAAGGTCATTCCATAAATCTGGGGTTCAATTTTTGTGTGTGTCCCTGTTACATTGTACATCTGACGTAAGATTTTGTAAATTCACTACACATTCTTTTAATAATGACTTTATCTCCAAGAGTACCAGCCAATATTTTGAAGTCAATTTTAACGATACTTGCATGGCAAATTACACACAACACAACAACTGTCTCACTTATGGACCCCAAATTTATGGAATGACCCTAATACATTACTACATTTTCCACATGTTCCAATACCTTCAGGAATGGAGTCATCGTCCGTAAAGCTCGACGCCGATGCCACAGACATTCTGTTTCCAGCTCGGTTTAGACCCACAAAATTTCCAGGGAGATATGGTTCACTGGTTGTCCGACTCAAAACACCCGGTCCGCTGACCGACAACGAAGGGCATCGCCGACGCTTGTTGTACGAGGGCGCTTCTTGTTGAATCACTGACGAGAAACAATATCACAACGCGATCAAAAGTGCTTTTCGCAATCGAAACTAATTCCTCAATGATGTGTTCCAACAATTGATTCAATTCTGAGCTTTTCTGAAGACTAAATCGTGTCTCTCAAGTCAAGGTTTCTAAACTGGAAGTGAACACCCAACTAGAAACTATCATACCTTAAAAAAACGGACAGGAAACCCTCATTGTTGAGTTGGCTTTGATAGTTTCATTTTACAGGATGTAATACAGATCACTTCCCCTTGTATAAAGCGTGATAACGTTCAATACACGTCTGCATGAATCAACTTCAATGACACGCTGGAACTCCCAGTTCTGTGAACTCGGAGGAATGCGGTTTCTCATGACCAAATAACACCATCCCATGAAAAGACAATAGAAAATACTTCACCCTAAGCAGGATACATGCACTAAAGGTGTGGCAGGAATGAGAATGAAATCCAATATGAACATACCCACAATCACATGTCTTCTTGGTATATGTAATTGTAGCTTTGCTGGACGCATATTTAAGGCACAGTAAGGTAACCTAACTCAACAAACTGCACCTCTCAACAAGAAAGAGGAGTTGGCTATAAAGGGGAAACACAATCCACTGCTTCAGTGTTGATCTCGCACACATTAACTACAATGCTCCATTAAAATTTCCATTTGTCCAAGACAAGTGCTTTATCTTTAGGAACAATTGTTCAATTTTATGAAATTTTTATGTTCTCAATTTACCAATGAAACAATTTTTTACGCAAGTACTTGGCAGACTCAACCTATTCAAACACCATTTTCAATACAAACTGCTCACTTAATATCCATGCATATTATTTGACTGCTTTTGATAAAATTTTAGGCTAGATGTACCCGGTACATGCACACACTAGCAATGTCGAGTGGATCGAAGGCGAGTAACAAACATGACAATGGGACAGACTAGATGAATCAGGGGAAAGAAGCACAGTAGGGCCCACATCCCCCCCCCCCTTTCCTCCCCCCCCCCCCCCCCCCCGACCCCTCACCAGAACTGACACAACAAAATTAATGCCAACCAATTAAGATATGAGGGTTTGCATGATGGAGATACTAATGAATGAAAGCTTTGTGGAAGCACCATGTGGGAATAATTTCTCAAACTAAGAGAATGGTTCTGAAAAGAACCAGAGGTATAAACTCGACGTTCCGGTCAGTATGCTCTAACCGTCTTCAGGAGAGTGCCGTTAACTCTAAGAAAGCAAACACACAAGTACCAAATGCAAAATCGATGAAGTGTGAAATTGCAATCCCAACTACTACACTTTGACTGCCACCAAGCCCTTTAACATTCAGGGACCACCAACTTAGGATATGACTGTATATCCTGTCCCCATTACATGCTTCCAACTGGTCCCAACCAGCGGAACCACTTCAACAAATGTCATCATCAGCCTGTTATAACTGGTGACGGGCTAAAATAACATTACCTCAATTTCTAGAATTTGTTCGTTTGTTTTGGTTTGTTTTTGTTTTGGTAATTGCAGTGAGTAATTGGTTTTAGCAGTGATAATATCATGACATGCAACACAGTACATGTATATCCCACAGTTTAACTTTTTTATTCACTGGATTTTACAAGAAAACAAATTTTAAAAACGCGTAACCAGAGCAATAATAAAGTTATTCTGAATGTGAGCTGCACAATTATTTGAGGAAAGGGCGGTATAGATAGTGTATAGTTTATCAGTTTACAAGACTGAAGCAAAAATGACCCCCAAAAAAAAGAGAAAAAAAGGAAAACAGGATCTGGGAACTTTACCAAGCAAATGTATAAATGTTTTATGTTTTTACTCACCCACATCTTCATCAGAGTAATTCCTGATGGTTTCCCCTAAGCTGAAGTTATTGGAGACAATAGCGACCTGATGACAAAAATCCAAAAGAATGGGTGAATCACAACACCAAAGATAAACCAAACTAGCAGGAACAAAACTTTAAAAAATCTAAAAAGCTAGGTAAAATTGTGCACTGTCATTTCAATTAAATAAGGAAGTGTAATATGAATACCACGATACAATGATCATAGCTCTCGTCCATCCTGTCATAAATATTATTTCACAGGTTGTATAATACAAATAAATGATTGTTCCTTCTATTACATGTACCGTAGTTCCAGTTTTATTTCTACATGACACATAAAGAATGTTTCTGAATTTGGTTTAGACATGACTTGATGTCCTTGGGCACAGTGCTCTGCTTGGTAACCTCAACCTTGTTTCCATGGATACGATCTAGCTGCGCCATGTTGTTTCCCATCATGCTTTGCCCGATCTTAACCCCTGGAATTGTGTAATTTAAATGTGCCAAATAGTGGCACATTTACTTAAGGATTGCAGTCGATGTGTTTAACGCGCGACGCAGTGTTTAAAACGTTGAATTTTGTTGTTGTAGAAACAATCCTTTCAAACATACATGTAAGATTTTGATGTTGCGTTATTTAGCATTTATATTAAATGTCCGTACATTTTTTGTACCTCTGTCGTCCCTTTACAACACAAAATACACGTTTTTAAGGGGGGGGGGGTTGAAAAACAAGGCTTCCCGAATCCATATCATACAGGCATCGCGCAGTCTTAAAAAAAAAATTGTACATGACATGACGTGTAGGAGATAACGTGCAAGCGAATATATTTGTGCATTCTTCAAAATATGCTCGCAGTACTCTCTGAATAGCTGGTCAGCATCATTTACATATTCCTCATGGCCAGGGGTTAGTGATGGAACGCCCATGGAGTCGAGGCTGTAGAAACCTTGATCTCGCAATTGATGTGCTGTAATCCCATGGCCCACCCTTTGCACTTTGAACAAAATTTACACATCAAGTTGCATGTAGGGCAACAACGGCTATACTTGCACAGTCATTTATACCTTGGGTGTTCCTTCCTCAATCCTACAAAACCCTCTCAAAGATCCTAATGCACTTTGTAGGATCTGAGAATGTTAGGATTTAAGGTAAAGATTATGTCCAATTCTCACCTGGAAAGGTGTTTGGCTTGACTTGTTCTTTAACGCTCTGTCCCCTCCGCGGAACAGCACCAATCGTGCGGCTGTCTCCTGATCATACGCAGCGCAGATGTGTAGGGGAGTGTTGCCGGCTTCGTTCTGGCAGTTGATGTCTGCTCCGTAGTAAATAAGAAGCTGTAGATGTTGGGCTCGGCCGTAACGACAAGCCTGAGGATAGATGGGAAGTTATTTAATGATTACAAAAAAAATTGAGTTTTTAGCTCAGACCCTAATTCTCCAGGGTTTATTGGGGGGGGGGGGGGGGCTAGAAAGCATGCCTGGCAATGTTACAAAATCCAACAGATCAGTGGACCAGAGACTGCAGATGACAAAAAGTGGCCTTGCTCAACGGAACTAGCTCAATTTGCCTCAAAAGGGGAGACTTTATGGATGCTTGGTGAAAGCAAACACACCGGTTCCTTTTCCATACTTGCGTCACTTCTAAACATGCGCGCAAATAGTATAAACATGCGCGCAAATAGTTTAAACATGCGCGCAAATAGTTTAAACATGCGCGCAAATAGTTTAAACATGCGCGCAAATAGTTTAAACATGCGCGCAAATAGTTTAAACATGCGCGCAAATAGTTTAAACATGATGCAAACAATACAAAAGGACCGTTATGTATGCTGCCATCAATCTCAAAAGTCTCCCATTGCAAGTTTATGCACTGGCACTTTGATGGCTCAATGCAGCAAGGTCCAACAGACTGTTACACCTGTTGCACAGTGCTGCATCCAGCAGGGGTTTGGGGTTAATATCTCGCTAAGTTCAGTTTCCCTTTTGAAATCATTGTGACTGTCAATAGCAACCCCGAAAGTGTCAAAACACCAGATGATCGATGTCAAGCACTGTTTGACAGTGTGACCATGGTTTACAACAAACATACGAGGTGACATATGTGAAACAACTCAATCACAACTTTCACAACCACAAACTTTGAATATAATCACAAAGCATACTATGGTCAATGACATTAAATGGATGTCATTTCATGGACATGATTCACTTGATAACGACTTCTGGAAAATTTATATTAACATTTATAAATAATATTCACCGGTACCATCTCTTAAAAGTAGAGTAGATCATTTGCAGCTATCGAAAAAGGAAACTGACAAATTTATTGTTGAAGAGCTTACTTGGTTTGAAGATAGTAATGGCACTAAAGTACCTGTGAAATTATTGTTTCTGGCATGCTGTCATTTTGAAGAAAACAATAAAAGGCGGACATTTCCAAAGATGTGTCAAGTGACGCATTTTAGGAAATTTCCGTTAATAGTTGGCGAATCCGTACATGGGTGCGCGTGCGCAAGCGTAAACGCGATGCACACGTGGTTGCTAATATTCATCAGTTCAGTGCATGACATTGTGTAGCTGCAAACGTGTCCCGAACGCTTACTTCGGGCTAATTCAAAACATGACTCTGGAACTTTTGAATTGAAATTGAGATCCTAGAATATTGTTTTCTCTTACTATACAGCAATCACTTAGCTAAAACTTCGTCAGGTTAGTTGTCAAGCACTCGTCTTCTGATTTTGAGTACATCTGTTGCTTCAAACGAAAAACTACACAAATGACAAATAACTACCTTTAAAAAAAAATGCATCCCCAAAACCCAAAAAATGTGCTTACATGATGAATTTCTGTCCATCCCTGCTCATCAGCTATGTTGACAGCTGCTCGGTCCTTCAGCAGAAGCTCGGCTATCATTGGCTCACCGCCGTTCTGCACATTGTAGTAGAGTGGAGTGAGCCCTCTGGAATCCTTGTAATTGGGGGAGGCTCCTAGACTCAGTAGTAACTGTCAAATAGAGAAATATGTATTAAAATAGATGTTAGTGGTCAGACTTTAGCAAGAGCGCCCTCTACTGGTGATTTATTAACAATGTTTATTAAAATGTCAAAACGGAAATATGCAATAATTTAAAGAAGTGGTAATACAGGGTTTATTTCACTTAATGGTTCAAGTGAAAATGAAAAAAATGATAAAAATTAGGGTGTTAACGGTACTGATCAAGTACAAGTATGATAAACTGCACATTTAATATTTTTGGATTTTTGAAGTTTTTTTTATGATAGTTTGCAAAAATAATAGGAATTAATCATCATCCATCAACTTTTTTTCCAAAGTAGGTTTGGGTGCCTCAGGCTCAGAATGAAGTAGAACGGATCTCAAATCTCCAATTGAAATCTTGGTCTCACGTTTAGGAGGAATCAATTCCCAGAGTACCAATACAAAATTCCCAAGAAAAAAAATTCCCAGACACTTAAAAAAATTAAATTATACAGTAAATGCTCATTTTTAAGAGAGGGACATGTACCTTGCGTTAGTAATTAAACACTTCGATTCATTCGTGATATTATGCAGACTATTTTCTCACAACCTTTTTGCTGGATCAAAAAAGCAATTTTGACTCCTAAATTGAATCAGATCGATTGACAGAAAAATTGGTCCACTCCTACCTCTATGGCAGACTGGTTGCCTGCATTGACAGCTTTGTGAAGGACCGTTTTCCCGTCCTTTGCTCTGTAGTCAAGATGTGCTCCACCGCCCACCAGGGCCTGAATGAGTACACCAGCTGCAGCACCCTTCAAAGATGCAGCGATGGTCAAGGGAGTTTCTGGAGAACAAAAAACGCCCTTTGTTTCAAATCATCTCCTTGAAATCAATCATCTACTTGTTCTTTTGCACCAAACCTTCGAGATTTTTTTGTTTGTTTTACGCATGCCTTGATACCAATTTTACAAAATTTGGACATACATTGTTCCTCATAAAGTGTCAAATTTGTCAATGTAACGTGGCAAAAGTAAGGAAATGCATACTGATTTGCAATACAAGCCGTCTGAGAACAGCTGAGATCTTGGGGCGGGGGGGGGGGGGACCCCCCTTTTGTGTTGGTCACTGTGTTACTGGAATCTCCAAAATTCTTTTGAGATATGTAGGGAGAAGGGGATGTGTAATCATGTGTTTGGTAACAATACTTGTGACATCACAGATTCTCAAATTTCTGCCGAATTAGAACCAGCCTTAAAATGGGTGGACTGTTAGGGTAACACACTGCTAGTTTTGCAAAGATGGATTATTGTAATAATACCAACCCCCTGTGCTTTCTTCCTGGATATTAGGATCCATGCATTTCCCAGTCATCTTGGTAATCTTGTCGACGTTTTTACTCCGTACGCTCTCAAAGAAGGCCTTGATGTTGGTTTTGTTGTGATACTTCTTGACCTCCTTGATGTCCAGCTTCATCTGCTTGTACACACGCCTCTTGTATTTGAACTGAACAGAATGGATTTAAAAAAAATAAACATGAAAAATGAGAAATGGAATTTCCGGTAACTTGGAAAGATGTGTTCCTAAAATGTTTTCCTTACACGTTTTCTTAAGGCACCGTACTGAATCAAACTAATTAAAACACTAAAAAAGTGTAAATCCACCAGAAATAAACAGGGAAAACCAAAGATCTTTAGTTAATATTCAGGTTGAAAATTCAACAGAAATTGTCTACTGCTGTGTTTTTTCAGCATGGTTTGAGTTGCCCAACCCTCCTAGCCTTCTGCATTTTAGAACACTTCCAGTTTTGCAAAACCACTTTTGCCCACAGAGTTAGCAACCAGAGTTCAAATTTCTTTGAGGTAATCTTCAAATCCCTGCACAATTCTTGTGTGTGGTTGAGCTCAGGGTAATCAGGCTTATTCGGTCATGCATGACTGCTCTCACAGTGCTGCTTTTTGGTGCAGTGACTCTCTGTGTAAGACACATTACATTTTATCCCTTCACCTGAAACTGACCTGTAGGGTTTCAAAGGGAATATACAACATTTGCTTTTGCTGCAATTTTCAGAAATAAATGGATTTGGAGGATAAGTGTGCTTTAGAAAATATTGTTAAACGAGCTTGTTTCACGTTTTGGGTTCAGAGATGCTGGAAAATCTAAGAAAACCAACCATGTTCTTGTAGTCTGGTTCCCTGACTCAACTTAAGATGAGACGTTGTAATTTATAAACTTTGGGGATTATAAGGTAAGAGAATCAGTCTAGCAGGCTTGTACCCCTTCACAGATGTGTCATCAATTGCAAAGAAAATGCGGAATGACTTAATATGAACAATTAGGAGCAATTTTTGAAGAAAAACAAACAGTTTTCTCCAACGATGGTCGGCCGACCAGCGTTGGAACAATACAAGTTTTCTTGAAATCGTAAGCACACCAGGAACCACGATTTTACAGGATGCTTTAGACTGTCATTCACTAACAGTCCAGTAAGATATTTCGTTATAATTTGATAATTTTGTTTTTTTGATGTTTGCAAATGTTGTATCTTCCCTTTAAAGGGTTTTACATATTGCTCTGAATATTCACTTCCAACTAGAAAGGTTTTCTTAGAACTGCCAAGGGCAGGTGGATGTTGAAGGATTCGGGAGTGTGTTAATAAAAACCCAGTAAATACATGCATATACGTCCTACATGTTCAATGAATTTCACAATTCTTTTCAAGGTTTAAGCCTTACCTCTAAGAACGGCATGCTTGCAGGATCGGTGGGATAGTCACTAAATAGTCTCTCTTCGTCCAGGAATTTACCGGCTTTGCCGTGGGCCGGTGGCAGGTACAGTCCAAAGTTTAAGTTGTCAGTCAGTGGCTGTCAAAAAAAATCAGAAAAGTCAGAAAAATTTCAATAAAAACAAAAGACTTCCGAGATCAAATTCCACCACTTTTTTTACACACGAAATGTCTCAATTCTCTTAAATTTCATTAATACACCAAATAAAAACCAAAATGAAGACAATTTCTAACTTAGGAAATCACATACATGTACAAGTGGCTACATGTATAAACATCTGAAGAAACTAAATTGCAGGACTTTTGTAAGTGATGCTCCAGGGGTACGTGTACATTAACAACATGGACTGAGAATAGATTCACAATCTTGATAACAGGAAATTGTCTGGCTTGAAAAAGTGCCAGAGAAATGTCAAAATGGGACGGAACATTGCAGTATCGCATACCGCAAGTGATCTTTATCTACATGTCAATACAGAGAGGTACTGGTATTTTGCACCCATCTCAGTTCAACATTACCAAGTTTTTTTTCTTACAACAATATCATGTGTCTATCTCTTTATGTGTGAATTTGCAAATAATTACATGTACATGTGTAAGCCTAAACCCCATGGCCCTTTCTGCTAGGAACCATCCTCAATCCTCCAAAATCCTCCAAAATTTTGCACTCATGTTCAAATGAAGGATACCCACTGCCTCAATCTTTCAAAATCCTCCAACAGTCCTGCCTCTCAACATGCATTCATCCTCAAGCCTCCAAAATCAACCTGGTATTGAATGACCATGTGCCCTCAAACTGCCACAATCATCCCAAATGGTATGCTGCATTCAGCCTCAGTCATCCTCGATCCTCCAAAACTGCCCAGAGGACTTTGGAGGATTGAGGAGGTTTAGGGTTAATCTGGTCAAAGGATTCTTGTTGTTGAGAGTACAGTGGACATAAAGCAGGCACATGTACACTGTACAGGATGTCAATGAGCAATTTTTTCCCCTTTAATTCATAAATTTATTATTCATTCATGGTACAAATGTTACTTGCATACTGTTACAATCAACCAAACTGTCAACTTAATTAACCACAATCATTGTGCAGTGAAAATGCTGGGAAAATTCAATTTCAACTGACGACAGATGGTCCAACCATAATGACAGGCACTTATTACATGGTCTGCCAATGACACATGTAATAACATCACTTCAAGCTCCAATGCACAGGCAAGACAAGACACTGGTAGTGGTTGATTTAAGAGGTTTTCCCTAGAGACAACTGAAATACCTGGAACTAAACATGTAATTGCATTTTTATAAACAGAATTTGCTCCCCTTGTAAATTCAGTCAAGCATGGAATTAATTTGTAACTGAAGAAATAATGAATCAATTTAAAAACAAATGTTTCCTTCACATTGTTAAAATATTGATACCAGTAAAAAAAAAAAAGGTGCATGGTTGATATGTACATGTAATTTAAACAAATTAATTAATACACCCGTTTACGATTTTTTTTTATAAAATGATACTTTAGCTTCTAGTGTAAGAACACACATTTTTCTGAAAAATTGAAATATTGAATTTTTTTCTGTTACCAGATATATTTAGCCTACCCGTCCTTTGGTTATAAGAGGGCAATAGGTGTCTCAGTACTAATCCGTAAAAGAAAAAGACCAGTGATGCCCATAAAATCGCACCTATTTTTAATCCACACTAAATGCCAATGTTGATGTACATGTGTGCATCTAGTAGAATTCTTCATCTTTCATATCTTGTACACTGTACGTGGGCAATTCTTTGGTAACGGAATTACGGAATTTTGTCACTTTGTCAAGGATTATTCTTTCCCAAGAAAATATGTTCTATGCTAGGCAACTAATCTAAACATGGAAAGGGAGCCAAGACCCAGTAGAATTGATTGACCGCTAAAAAAAAAAAAATCCCACAAGATTTCCCTTTAAGGGGCGGAGCTTAATATCGGTAACGGAATTACGGACAGAGGACAAGCATATTTGAGTTCTCGCATAAATTAATAAAACTCTCTGAAGTTTGGAAATTTTAAAATTGGACACTACCTGTTATTTGTAGAGTTCAGGGGTGTTGTTAACTACAATGCAGAACAAAGTTGAAAAAAATAATCACTCTTTTCATAATTTGCATTTTAATCACGGTAACGGAATTACGCCTGGGCGGTAACGGAATTACGCCATAGGTTTACATGTAATAGGTAAATGCAATACATTAACACTGAATTCAACATAACTCATCACAATACAAATTTTAGAAGTTTATAAAATGCCACAAGGGGAAAGTTAAGTGAAAATTAGCAGATCAAAATGTAAATGTAGGCCTAAACATGTCTGGGCTTCATTTTTTAGGTCAAAGGTCAAGGTTAAATGAAAGCGGTCTGGTGATGGCTGCATTGCCTGTTAGCAATGTATTTTTTTTTTTACCAAAAATCAAATTTTACTATGAACATTTGTATTATCGTATTTCACTAGTTTATCGTGGAAAATACAATAAAACTGCACTGGTTGGCATCTCTGAGCAAGGGAAGATGTTAAGTTATGCCAAGTAGAACATGTAGAAGTACAAGTACAGTCTGGTACTCAACTTTCATATACTTGTTGTCGGATATATTTTCAGTGGGTACCAGACAATGGCTTTGGCAACACATATTTAAAGGGAATGTACATCATTGGCTTTTGCTGTAATTTTCAGAAGTGAACTATTTGAGGGGTGAGTATAATAGATCAAATATTGTTACACTGACATGTTTGAAGTTTTGTGTTCGAAAATGCTGGAAAAATCAAGAAAAACAAAACTGTTCAAGTAGTCTGGTTCCTTGACTCCACTAAAGGTAAAATTGGTCAATTTATAAATGCCTGAAAATTGGAGGGTATGGGAACCAGACTAGCTGGCCTGCACCCGTTCATGAACATGTAACAAAATAACAAATACCCGGTAGCAAACAAAATTGTAAAGTTGGAGCAGTAGTTGAAAAATAGTGAGGTTTTTCCAACAGTGGTCGGCCGACCACCGTTGGAAATGTATACAAAAATATCAATTTCTTGAAAATTACTTCATACCAGGTGCCATAATCTTACAGGATGCTTAAGACTGTCATTTACCAACATCCTAGTAAGGTATTTCGTAAAAACTTAGTAGTTTTATTTTCTGATGTTTGCAAATGATGTATATTCCCTTTAAGCATCCAAACAACTATTAAGATTTTTTAAATAGTAAAAAAGAAAAAGTAAAAGTAAAAAATATCAATGGAACACCTGATTATTTTTAATTGTATAATAGCAAATTAATTAAAGGGAAAATACAACATTTGCAAACATCAAAAAATAAAACTACCAAATCATTTTGAAATACCTTGCTGGACTGTTAGTGAATGACAGTGTAAAGCATCCTGTAAAATCATGGCACCTGGTATACTGTCATTTTCAAGAAAAGTGGTATTTTTGTATCAATTTCCAACGCTGGTCGGCCGACCAGCGTTGGAAAACACTGGCTTTTTTTCAAATACTGGCTCCAATTGACCATCGCACTTGTTTGCAATCGATTACACACCTATGAACGGGTACAAGCCAGCTAGACTGGTTCCCTGGCCTTACAATTCCCCAATGTATGTAAACTGCTCTGTTTCTTCTTATATGGAGTCAGGGAACCAGACTACAGGAAAATGATTGTTTTTCTTGGTTTTTATAGCATTTTCGAACCCAAAACCTCAAAAAAGTCAGTGTAACTATATTTGCTATATATTTCCAACCCCCCAATTCCATCCATTTCTGAAAATTACAGCAAAAGCAAATGATGTATATTCCCTTTAAAGAGGGAAATGATTTAACAAGTAATTTAGTATTTAAAATTATTGTCCACGGTTACATGCAAATCTCCTATTTAATATGTCATGTACATGTACATAATCTGGAGGAAATGTGCATACTTTGTGCATGCGTAATTCCGTTACCGTAATTCCGTTACCGTTTCGTAATTCCGTTACCACTTGGAAAAATGCCAAGAAATTACTATTTTAAAGTTTTTATTTTTCATTTATGTTTGTAGTAGGGTCTTTTCTCAACATACATGATTTGAAGAAAAAAAACAAGAAAATTTGTGAAATAAGTAACTTTTGCCATTTTTTCGGTAACGGAATTACGTGCTAATTTTGACATTTTTAAATGAAGGCCTACACTATATATATAAATATATATTTATATTTTTAAAATTTTTTAATGACCCTGAGTAATGTTAGTAACTTGTAACATCATAAAATAAATCAAATCTTTTCCCTATAATTCAGAAAGTAATACATACACAAAATTGTATTTTTTTACCAAATCTGAACGTTTTTAATCATAAATTGCAAAAATCACTGTTTTTACCAGAAATATGTATTTTTTTTCAATTTCGTTTTTTGAACTGAATTCCCCATTTAATTGAGGTCTGGAAAAAGTACAAAAAAGGTTTAATATGTAAATATTTATTTTTGACATTTTTTGCTCTCCCATGGAGAACTGCCCACATGTACATGAGGGCGATAACAGCCTTGCATCTGCATGTATAATGTAAATGGGTCAAGACTGGACAACGCCCAAACTCAGAGAGGAATGCAATCAGTGCTGCGTGCTTCAATTTGTATGAACTCATAATAAGAAGCTGTGAGACTGAAGGGGTGTGGATGGATGAATCATGATCAACACACACATAAAATATCTGCTAAATCCGGCTCATACTTGACACAAAACCCTATAAAATGAGTTTGACGTCACGGTAACATTCGCAGTGTTGACAGGTGTTCAACTTCGCCAATTTATCACAGATAACTGCCACCAAATCACAAATTTGAGTTCCCTTTTGCTTTTTGGGCTAAGCATGAACTGGCTTTTTGATTTATGAAGTACCGGTACAGTCGACTCTCGTTTAGTACAAACTCTGTTAATACAAATTCTGGTTATGACAAACATAAAGCCTTGGTCCCGACTGTGCATGTATGTGCACAATGAATGGGACTGATGTTCCTCTAACAAACAATTTCGCTAGGTCCGAACGAGTTTGTATTAACGAGACTCGACTGTACATACATGCATGCACATGTCAATTACAGGACACAGTGCAAGATGTGTGGAAATATGGATCGAAACAAAGATAAAATAAGTCTCAATAATAAAAAGAAACATGAGATGGTGTGGACTTATGGATCAACAGGCACACCCAATATCTAGCAAAGATAAGATTTACGGCTCACTAATAAGAACCAATGCGAGATGATATGGTTGGACAGATCAACACAGGCACACCCAATACTTGACACAGATGAGATTTGTATGTCTTGATAAATAATAAGAAGCACTGTGTGACAGTGTGTACAGATGGATCAACAGACACACCCAATGTTCGCCAAGGATAAGATTGACAGTGTGTGTCTAATAGGATAAAAGGCAGAACATCATGAGGATGCTTCAATGAAGACAACAGGACATATGAGTGCTTACCTTGCTGAGGCTTTTCAGCAGTTGCATTTTGGCGAACCATACTGTCTTATCTCGTTTGAAACACAAGTGATTCTGCAAGGGAGAGAAACACGGGAAATCTTTCAATGTTGTTTCATATGGATCACTTATTCGTTTGGAGACTTGATGAGAATTACACAAATGTACAAATATACCGGTACATCTACAAAGGACTGAAATAGTCACTAATCTCTCTCACTGCCTAAAACACTCTGATCACTCCAGAATAGATACACATCTTATATACTCTCAACATGATGACGTGATTTTTGACGTCATCAAAACAAAAACCAACATATTATTGGCCACCAGGCCAGGGGTCTCAAGGCCAAACCTTGTTTTTCTGCTCCCCCTTGTGCGTGTATTTCAATTCTTACATTTAAAGTAAAGAAGACTGACATTGGATCACTTTTCCAATTTACTGGATGACGACATTCTGAAACTATGCGGTCATTTTTTTTCTTCTGAACACACCCCAAGGTACATGTTTGTACATGTGCATGTAGATTTGTACATGTACATGTACGTATTTTGTACAAAATTATATTTAGCGGCAGGCCCGGAGGTACATGTGGCAACCTGCTGAGGAACACGCAAGAGGGTCATGTGACCCCCGGCGAGAAGCAAAACAGACACTATGAGCAAGTAACAGAAACCATGAATCAATCTTGAGAAAGCCGGGGTTTCAAAATGGAAACCAAGTGAGTAGTGGTTTTTAAACTCTACTGGGAACTCTTTGTAATTAACAACAGTGCATAGCGAACACATTAAGACAATACATCAAGAAAAAAAAAAAGGAAAGGTGACATGCAGTACAGTACATGTACACTGACTGTATTTATTGACATTCTTGGTACATGTATGTATTCCTTCAATTACCATAACAAAGCACTGAAATATTTGAACTAATTACTGGTACTGTTTACTTTTAAACACTTACATGTAAATTTTACCATCATATGTGCCTACTCAACATCTTTGAACAACTTCATTTTTCCAAGACTAGGCTAGACGCCCAAGGGCAATGTTATGTCTGCTGTGTTAATGAGGCATATTTGCTATGCTAATAAAGTAAGGAATGTCAGTAATGTCTGCCAGGGGTGCTTGACCTCATGGACAGGTCAAAGCAATGGCAGATCCAATTATGGACGTGAGCGTCTTGCAGCATCGTTATCAGGTGCATGAACCACCTGCAACTACTGCCACTACCTGATTAGACTTGTCAGTCAAATCCCCTCAGCCATCAGGCAAATCTCTTCTTTAATCACTTAATTAATTAATGAAATTATCAATCTACGGTACATACATCCTTCCTGGGAAGCTTTTACTTACTTACGTGTACAGGGCGAGTCAAAAAAAAAAAAAAAAAAAATGTTGAGACCACTGTTTTAGGGAAGTTCTGTAGCACTTTCGAAATCTAGGATGAAAGCCCATTTCATAAGCTTTCTTTTAGTACAAGAATCATTCAAATGTACCGTACTTTTCAAGTTACGTAACTTTAAACACAACCACCGTTTTAAGGTTCTGTCCACGGATAACAACAAGGGAAGTGTTCTTTCACTTTTCAGCAAAACGAAAACAAATCACATAGGGATGTGTGTGAATTGAAAGAATGCACACCTTTTCTGTGATCCGTGAACAGAACCTTAAAACAGTGGTTGTGTTTAAAATTCCGTAACTTGAAAAGTACGAGTGATTTGAATGATTCTTGTCTCTATTAGAAAGCTTATAAATTGGGCTTTCATATACATGTACTAGATTTTGAAAGTGTTACATGCAGAACTTCAGAGTCCCGAAATTTGGGTTTCGCTTTTTTGTTTGTAACTCACCATGTACATGTAAATTTAATTTGTGTGCAGGTACAAGCTTACATTTGTACAAGCGTACATCATACCGTAGGTTTGCATGGTGGACATGAACAAAGAATGGAAGGTTTGCAGAACTTGTGCTGAGATCATACTGAAACTAAAAGAGTTTTTAAGCTTTTGACAAGCACTGGAGTAAAAGATCATTTCACACAAAAGTATATATTCACAGGGTTCAAGATCACTTTGCGAAGAAAATGTTCAGTACCTTGGTACTTTCTCCTAGTTAATGGCTTAAACAGATATAATTGTACTTTTGAATAGTTCCCTTGCGTTCAAATATTTAGCGTACAATTTTTCATCAAATGTTTGTACTAAAAAAACTAATATACTACTGTACTGACGTACCGGTACCTTTGTCATTGGCAGGCACACTCTAGTGTGGTGCTAACTGATCAATATTTCCCTGATGGAGATGATTTATTTGCATTTCACTTTTTTCCCAATACCAGGGCAAGGACGGCCATATTTATTTGCTCCTCACATGTGGTTGAAACCCAACCCATGTGTGATCTTACATGTGGTCAATTACTGAGGTTTTGTTTATTCATTCCTCGGCAACCCACAGAGAAAGAAATGTGGGCGACTCTAAGAAATCAATAAAAAAATGTGGGCGACTCTAAGAAATCAAGCAATACTGACGAAAGACTGACTTGGGTTTAACTGCCACAAACGATCTATGATTACAATTTACATGTTGTGTAAATGTAAGCTACAGATGTCCTTAAAATATAAATGTGTCTTGGCAATATACAATGTATCATTATAACTGAGCCTCTACCGGTATGTAGGCGTATCCCAAGAGTACTGTACATGTTGAACATTGTCTAGTATTATGCAAAAAATACGCATTTGCAATATACTCAGTGTTCACACTTCTTGTAATATAAATACCATGTAACTTGTTCTGGTTGAGGACTCCACCCAAACCAAAGCAACTTGCACAGTAAATCATGCAATAGATTTGCTTGCAACCAAACCACAATGATCTCATCTCTGTGGTTACAAGTATTGAATGATGTTGTTCTTGGTTCACTACTTCACTATGGGCACCGTGCCCAAGTACGGGGGTGCATACCTATGTTCCCCAATACCGATGTTCCCCGAAATCCCTACCCTATAACCCTAACCCTAACCCTAACCCTAGCCCTAACCCTAACCCTAAGGATTTCGGGGAACATTGGTAACTAGTGGGGAACATCGGTACTGGGGAACATCGGGTAGACCCCAAGTACAGTACCCCCTCATTGGTAAGAAAGGGAGAGTTGAGGGAGACCACTGGGTGATGTACATGTAGGACCGCATTGCCGATGCCACCTGACGCTCATGCAGGGACACTCTGGCTTTGTGCACATTCAGTATAAAACAAGTTGTGCATACTTCGTGCTTTACGCTCGTGAACCTGTTAGTGCACGTGGTGCGTCCCGCCAACTACGCTCTCGAAAGTGGTATTAAAAGGCACCCTATCTTGTTCGCATGTGCCGAGCCCGTGGCATGATTTAACTGCTAAAAAAGAATACATTGTACTAGCTTGTTACTATACAGACTTATTAAGAGTGATTGTGTTATCTCCAGACGAATGTTTTCTGTGGTTCAGATAATTGAGGATGTGAGTGACCTGTCAACAGCTTTTCTTATCAGATAGACAATGATATCGGATTACAAAGACTAAACCTACACATCCACCTGATAAAAGTTTCATATGAACAACCTTTTTTATCAAGATCGATTTCCTGATACTGGTTCTCATAGGATGAATTGGGATGGGGTTCACATTAAAAGTTCAATTAAGTTACACAAAATTCAATCAGTTTGATAAAAAACTGAACCAACTGCTTTAACAATAATGCAATATAATGCACACACAAATCACATGATCGACGAAACTGAGTCATGTCAAGCCAAAATACATGTCAGAGTTTCAAGAGATATAAATAAAAACCAAACATAAATAATTATTTTATTGAGCACTGTTTCACTTTCATTCCAATTTATCACAAGAAAGAACACTGACATCAGGTACATGTATTCAAATATAAAACAAACAGTGTCTTCCACAATTGGGAACAGAACAGATTTGCGTCAGGTGACAATCACTGCCATGAAACTGTAACTAAAATCGATGATGTTTTCCCCTTTGCTAGGCTACGAGGTGTGAATGCACACACCCATTCACGACTATTGACTGCCGACACCTGTTGTTAGTTACCATAGGAAACTGATGCCGTCACCAACTACATGTACAGTATTAACTGTGATCAGTTTATTATCATGCAGGTGGACGTGGGGTGTCGGTATTCCTGAATTATGAATTCACTGGAAACAAACAGTCACCAACTACATGTAAAGTACACCATGATCAGCTTAATATTTTTATGCAGATGGCGATGAGGGTGTCAATGCCCCTGAAGAAAGTATTCATTTTAACAGATGAAATCATCAACTACGTGTACAGTATTACACTGTGATTTGCTTAACATCATATAGATGACGAAGTGGGTGTCAATACTATTAATTCTAGTCTACACAGCATCTGTCTGTGGAAAGGTTAATGATTCATGGTGAAAATAAAATTGTCATCCCACAAGAATTTCAGCAAAGATTCAAAATGATGAATAATCAACATGAACCAGACTTATAATGCAGACGCTTTGACAAAACAAATGTATTGTTGTAGGGGCTTGGAGTTTGTATGACACCTTTCATTTTGGAAATGTTATACAATGTAGAAAATGTTCAAACAAAGTACTCCAACCTACATGTTTGTTGTACATGTACAGTCGTAACTCGTTAGTACAAACTCTGTTAATACAAAATTCTGGTTATAACAAACATAAAACCTTAGTCCCGACTGTGCATTTATGTGCACAATAAATGGGACTGATGTTCCTCTTAATACAAAATTCTGATATAACAAACAATTTGGCTAGGTTCGAACAAGTTTGTATTAACGAGACTCGACTGTATTTCATCAAATCATTGACCAAAAAGTGCATTTACATGTATATCTTCATACACACATGTGTATGCACATGTTAATAAGTAATTATCACTGATGCACAGTTGCAACCCCACCCATCCAAACTGCACTCATACACTCATCTGAAACCCTGGACAAAACTATGACTCACAGCTCTACAATGTGAGGGTAGAAATCCACTACAAAAAACTGACAAAGTCAGACAAAATCCTGATCAATGTGCCTCATGCTAAAAGATTACACATCTCCTCTCCAATTAGGGAAGATTGAATGGATCGCTTGCAGTAATATTTTGCATGTGACTGCAGATGTCTGGTGGAACATATTGCATATTTGTATGTCCATTGTACATCAGTACATGTATGCACACGTGTATGATACAGGAGATTTCTTGACAATTAAAGCTTAAGTCTTTTCTTTCGCGTACATCTACCATGTGTGACCTGTTCTGTCAAAAGCAGACGCTTCTGGGCAGAGGTTGATATTGAGAAAGGGCCAAAAAATGCTGTGGGGGTGATTTTTTTCCGATATTCTAATTTTTGCATATTTGTAATCCTGAACATGTCTAAAATATACTATAAAAGTTTGAAACCGTAATTTGAACTCTAAATATAGTATTTTTGATGATTTGATAGCCATTTTCCACGTTTTGTACTTTTCGACACGATGAAATTCAAAATAGCATAACTTTGCCCAGGAATAACTGGTTTCAAAAATTTAACCACCTTTTTAAAGGAAAACGTACATATTTTAACAATATGCAAAAATCTCATTTTTGACCTTATGCCCAGAAAAGTCTGATTTTGACAGAACAGGTCACATGTATGCATGTACATTGTACATGTACATGTACATGTATCCTCTTCATGTAAATGTACATGTATCCTCTTCAACATGTTGAAGAGGATACATACCTCTTCAATAGCTACATGTGTAAGGACATGTACACATATCTTGCCACTAAATCTTAATTAGGTGCCGGAATGAATTCTTTTGGATCATTTACTTTTAATTAAGGTAAAATTGCAAAATGCCTCACATAGTATGTAACCATGCACTATATTACATGTGAGCTGGCACATTTGACGTAATAGAAAATGTCTGACTGATTCTGGATTAAACATTCAACTTATAAATAAACATAATATAAATGTACCATACACGTACGCATGTAACTCAGACAAAAACAAATCCAAAAATACTCAGACTTACAACATGCCAACACAACTCCTACAACATTTTAAAAAAATTCCCTGGCCTAAAAACTAAACATAACACAACTTCCCAACAGCGAATTACAACACGACAACATGGATCATTAGCAATGCACTAAACATTCAAACACGCAACTACAAATTAATTAGGAAATATTTCACTTTTCCCAAATCTAAACATATAAACACAAAAGCTAGCCGTTAATTACACATCACATAGTTGACGTACCTGCATTTCTATTTCTGGTATCCTGACGCGGATGTGGAAGAAATCTCCGCCAGAGTCTGTCGACCCGCCGGAGTGGAGAGATTCGGCCGACCCGACACTGCCGTTGGAAAATGGAAGATCCATGTTGACAGACTGGGCAGTTGTCTGTGCTGCCCTGACCTGCAAGAAAGAAATAAAATACAGAAAATAATAAGATTTCATGACCAAGGCCCAATTTTATAGAGCAGAAATACTGCCGAGCAAATGTGCAGTAAAAAAAGGTTTGGTAGTGGTAGCACGTTTTTTGCTGAAGGTAAAATTTGAGCTTTGCAATTTTCTGTACCCTGACAGCACTTTGATAGTTGTGTACAAAGTCTATGGGGCATCGTGACAAAATCTGAGTAGTTTCGGACGTGCAACGACCGACTATCATTGAGGCGAGACATGTTTGGTTGGTGCGGACATCCAGAAACTTCTGAAATGTTAACTTGTTCCAAGACCCATTTTGGTTCTTGAGTGCTGAATGTACAAACACATAGCAATCGATGAAAACACGCGTGCTGATGGAAAGATGTCTTCAAGCTTCATCGGCCGATGGAAAGATGTCTTCATGGGCTTACGTAATGCCGTGCCGCCCTATACGGTAGAAAAAATGGTGTCAGGATTATGCATTCTCCCCAAAAATGTCGGTGTTCAGCAGCTCTTTAAAAATGGCCCCTGGGTCCGAGAAAAGGAAACTTTTGATTAGATACGGAGGTCAATGTGAAGGTCACACATGATGTTTCACTCGCCTAAAAATAAAGAGTTAAGCACTACATGAAAAATAGAATGTAAAACGCAGCCACCCTGTACTAGACACCAGGATAATTCCATTTCGGTCCCACTTTACACTTGCAATCACTTCTTCAGTAAAAAAATCAACGGACACGGTGAATGTTCGATACGAGCACTTTCATTCAGCGAATGAATTCACATTTCACAGAATTTCCACCTTAAAATGCTTACTTACCGGAACCTTGAAAACAACATCAATAGAATCCCATGCGAGCATCTTGATAATTAAACGAAGTATAGCTGTACATGCAGCAAGACAAGGATCACTACGTGGATAAAACCATTAATTTAATTTATCCCACGGTCGAGGTTAATAATTCACATGTAGTCTTCAAGGTTTTCGATACAGTTTCGGCCTACACACTCGCACATCCAGCGTACGTACATGTACATGCGCATGCAAAATACTGCAATTAGTCTCCACCCACAAATTACAAATCAGCTACGATCCTCAGAGAATTGGGAGCCATTGATGCATTTGTAAAGGTAATTTTCTGAGAAGTACAGTACATTTGTAATTGTGAGTTCAATCACGTTTACGCTGCCATGGCAGCAAATTTATGTCATGCACCTAGTTCTAATGGTGAGTTGATGATTTTAGCAGACTGCAAATTATGTTCAACTTGTCAAAAATAAAGCTGTGTACAATGTACACCGGTCCAATATGTGAATCTATCAAGTGCCTGTACCACAGCAGTCTGGCGCACACACACTGGCAACCTCTTTCCATGAGACAAGGAATGGATATTATAAAGGAGCATTACAACAATAAACCAGTGGCTGACCGCAGCATGTGCACAAAGCAATGGCAGTAGTACCAGCATCAACACATGTTGCAGTGGGGCATCCCACATAGATTCCCAATGACTCACTTCATTAGTCAAACACAGAAGGGTGCCACGCCAAAGCGATGAATATTCATTAGACTCAAATCATGAATATTCAACGTGAGGACTGAATATGTATGACATTCTTTTATGAAACAGGCAGGCAATACTATGCCAACAGCAGTTTGATGAATATTAACGACAGTTCATTGAATGGAACAGTGGACTTTAACCGCGCATCGAGGGAACACCCATTCAAACAAATATAATCCTCCAAGGGAGTTTAAATACAAACATGGAAGTTTGCACTTGATTAGCCTTGTTACCGACCTGCAGGACTGGTTTATAGGTAAATTTTTGCATAAACATAATGTGAAATAACGTAATTTCAGATATAAATGGGCTACAATTTATACTCTTGAGGTTAGAGACATGATTTTGCTTTAGTACACATTATTCATCATCACCATTCTTTAGATGCAAAAAAATCAGGTAAAAATAATGCATTGTGTATCATTTGGGCGTAGATCCCTAAGACAACAATGAGTATAAAGTATTGATGAAAATACCTTGGTGAAGGGTAAAACCCGAAATTAAATGTACATTGCCCCGACGTGAAAAAATTGATCAAACATAATAGTAACCACAAACCAGTTGTTTACATACATGTGAGTTTTGTGGGATCAAACATTGACGGGTCACTCCAAAGTCCCAATGACTCAGTCCAGATTATTATTGAAAACTTCCCCATGTGAGTGGTCTGAAAGTTCAACGATCTATTCCGATCACAAAGCAAGCCGAATAAAACTTAACAGTGGTTTGAACACAGACACCAACTGTTCTGGTGTGTGAGTCATGCTCTACTTTTATGTATGTGGTTTTACTAAGTTGGGGCTGCATCACGTAGAAAAATACAAATTGTATAGCAAATGTGTGTCATCTATGGTGAAATGTGGTAAAGTGATCTAAACGAATTGGAATTCAACCAGACATTAAACAAACACATCATTTATATTTTTACTTTGGTTTATACACAATCTAGAAAAAAAATGATGGAAAGACCAAAATATGATGACAAATTGTGAAACCGGTATGTCAACAAACCTACTGCAGTTTAGGATGTCGAAGTTTACAAAACTTTTTTCAGTCAATTTAATTCCAGTGTGGGTTACTTCCAGTACACAAATTCCTTGATAAACAAAAAGTAAACAGTCCTTCATACAGGCCTACCTGTAAAAAATGAATTATTCCAATAAACAGCTACTTGATCTTTGTTTTAAAAGTTCAAGTACAATGTACCAGTACATGTACAGTTGAGCAGTGACGCCACGTCCAATGACTTTACTGCCTAAAGATGGTTTGCAATAACACACATACACACATGGAATCAGCAGCAGCTACCGGTACTTCTCATAGACAGACATGTTAATGCTGGTCGTAGCCAAACTTCCCAGAAACATGGTTGAAAGGGTCCGTGCAATGAATTGTTCTTACATGTAGGATACTAGGAACACATTTTGTGCAACTTTCTACTCCTCTTCAATGTCTAAAAACTATTTGACACCCCTTTTTTGGTTCATTTTATTGAAAAGTGCACTTCTTTAAGTTTAAACGTTTAAAAGTTGTCCATGCTTTTCCGGACAACAGAGGGCGCTGTTGCTGTGGTGTGATTTCAGGACGACACTGGTTCAGCAGGGGGTTTTCTGTTCAAACTGTGAACCCAAAATTTGCTCACTGAAAACATTTGTGAGAAAAGTTTTGCTCACTGGCTTACTGCTATGTACTGACACAAAAATAAATCACCAAAGAAAAGAAAAGTTACGACAGTTACCGGTAAACATCCAAAATTCTAGCAACTTTTGGTGCTAAAATAGCTGTAACATTGAGGTTTCTGCCCAGAATGACATCATAGAACATGGACATTTTCATTAGCACAAAAACAGAGAAGGCACCAAAATACCTTTGAAAATGGCAAAACAAAAATTGAAAGTAAGGCTAAATTGGATACAAAGGTGCATTTTCAAGGATTGCCTTAAAAAAATTCTTTACATGGGCCCTTTAAAGGGATTATATATACCACTTTTTCAACATTTGCTTGCACTGTAATTTTCTGAAATGGATGAATATGGGGTTGGGTTAGTATTTTATAGCAAATATCGTTACACTGAATTGTTTGAAGTTTTGTATTCGTAGATGCTGGAAAAACCAAGAAAAACAATCATGTTCCTGTAGTCTGGTTCCCTGACCCCACCTAAAAAATTTATAAACTTCGGGAAATTGTAAGGTCAGGGACCCGGTCTAGCTGGCTTGTACCCACTCATAGGTGTGTTACCGTGTGTAATCGATTGCAAACAAAATGCGGACTGACTAAATTATTGGGGGCAATATTTGAAGAAAAAAAAGCCATTTTTTTCCAATGCTGGTTGGCCGACCTGACCAGCGTTATAATTGCCCATTACATGTAAACTGTATGACATTTTACAAGTGATACATTTGTACCGTAAGTAGCCTGCACTAAAATTATATTTGTAAACATATGTACACAAATACGGTACATATCTTCCTTGTGAAAATTTGTACATGCAAATTCAACAGGACTGCAGTGCAGCGTGTTCATATAGCCTTGATATATACAGACCTAATTTGCATGCCATCAAGTTTAATGGCTCCCCTAGTCCATGGTCAAATAATTTCAAGGCTGTTTAATACATGTACGTATACATGTACATTTCATCTAAGTGTACAATATAAATGTACATGTAGTGCTTTCTATCGTACCACTACCAGTAGAAATAAACCAGTCAATGCCAAGTTTTCATGTTCAAGTGTACATGTACTGTACACCAACAAGGGTTTACATGAGTGAGGCTAGAAAATGGCTGCCGGACAAAAGCAGTGAAAACAGTTCTTAAACCAAAACTTGTATAAAGCATTCCACTAGCTCGACCCCTTTGAAAGCAGGTCAGTAGGCAGGATCCCAGTGCCCAAGGGCCCTAAATTCAAATGGCGATTCTTACCCACTGTGCCGGCTTACATTCTTTCAGACACAATGGTTGTTACGCCAACAACTACCTACAATTGTAGCAATAACCTCAAACCATGCAAAAAAAATTTGAAACTCCTCACAAAATCACAAAATGAAGGACAACAAGCGGAGGAAACACCAAAAAAAATGGGGGAAATTTTGACCTACCAGAACCACTTTGTAAAGCTCTCTCTCGGTCATGTCCTTTGTGTAACTCCACGGATGAGTCGTCATTATGATTACGGCGCCAACTTGAAAAGCCGTCCGGTTTTAGCAAGAATGGATTTTGACAGCTTTAGCTTGAACGAGTCTCAGGCAGGCATTCCTGGTCACTTCAAGTTTGGTGTCAATGTTTAGCTCCTTTGACAGTTGCAGATGTTTTCCAAAAAACTAGTCAGCTTGTTGCTTTAGGTTTTCCAAAAAAAAACAATATGCTAATTCAATATGATTACCATGCGAGAGTTTCAGATGTACTGGTACATGCGAACGTTCAGTATTACTTGCAGGACGGATGAATAAAAATTAATCAGCTGAATGATTCCACAATTTAAAAAGCAACAATTTTATGGCCTTGCCAGACAAATTCAGTGAGTAGATGAAGAAATTTGATGTTTGCAGGGTTGAAGACGGATTTCAATTTTTTGCAAAAGGCAGGTGTAGACTCAAGAATCACAGCCTCCAGTCTTATGAACCTTCTCTTTCCAAGTCTGGCCTAGCAACTGAATGTCTCGGCCAAATGCTTCCCGCAGCTTTACAAATTACGCAAGCCGTGCACCAATCCCAATGCTCATTCCTTGAGTTGCATGCCGGAGCTATTTTGAGTCCAGGCAAATGCTGCAGATTCCTCGGATGGATGTCAGCAGGTTCAATACAAAAACAAAGAAAAAGTTGAGTTTGATTATCTCCGTCTATGTATGGTGGAGAGACAGGCACATCAGTATCTCAATGATGATAAATACTGCCTCGAACTTCTCGAACAACTGCTAGAAAAATATTCACAGAATGAATCTTCCCTTGCAAAGCAATCAGTATGAATATTGTAGCGCCACTCCAACTACTACCCTTGATGGTAATTACAGTTCAGTGACTGAAGACAATACAAAGATAAGGGTACATGTTCATTGTATGTGTACATGACCAATCCTGCTCAAAACTATTCAATAATCTATGCTCGGCTTCAGTGCTCCATATTCCTCATGAACTTTATGTCCTGACGTCTACCAGTTCCAATCGACTCCAGACTGCTACCAAGCATATCCAGCCACAGTTATCATAAACTGTGTCTACATCACAGGACCAATCTGAGATGTCCCACTGCACTACTACCAGTACATGCTGTATGGTTATGAGAAAACCTCCAGACGAATTCAACCTCCACATACCAGTACCACCACTACCAACCCATTCCTGCTGATCACTGCTGATCACCGCTGTCCATGACCTATAAATGGGCAGTGATTCCCCACAGCGTATCAAGGCATTGCACAGTCAGCTCCGCAGTTACCTAATACCAACAGACAAATATCAGTTTTCCAGATGATTCCAAGTAACAAGTACAACAGGGTTGAAAGTTTCAGAGAAGTGTTGACAATAATATGCCTTCCCGGTCCATGCAGATAAGATACAGCTCATCAGGCGCGTTGCGCTGGGAAATCAATCTCGGTACCTTGGGGCAAGTTATACATGTAATGACCTTGCACTTGTCAAGATAGTCTAATGATCAGCATGGCGACACAGGGAAGATGCACCACTTACTGAGATTTAAATTGATAGACGCAGCAGAGAATAACAGCAAGATCCAAGTAATGAAGGGTGGCACTTTTTCTCACACTCCACACAACAGGTAACCACACACTGACTATACCAGCTTGTGTGGGTGCCCGGTATCCACCCTCTTGCTCTCCCGCAGAGGTATCACATTACCATGGTAACAGCAAGCAAGGTCACCCAACCAGTGCCAAAGGTCATGTGAGGAAAGTCTTGTGGTTTGGTCCGTGGATCATTGCCCAATGGTAAACTGCACATCAGCACAGCTGGTGTCTGACTTGTTTTATGCAAATAATAATAAATAAACTCGAAGACCTCTTGATCTTGAGCTCAGCCTTAGAAGTAATCTCACTTACTCAGCAAAAGTCTGACTTTCCTTGACATGGCCTGCCTGCCATAAAAATTCAGAAAACATACAAGAAATCATACTGCTTATCCATAACGAATTCCTTATATACACCTGTCTATTTTTCTCTTTCTTAATCTTATTTCGAAACAATCTGTGATATACTGTTAAGATTAAATCCTATGTGAGAAAACTGATTCAATCACCATCGGTTACTGATATGAATCAATTGTTGTTGGCCATGACCATTGCTACTCAGAGGTCTGTTACTAAGGAAATAGTCCCTACTGTATCCAAAGCAAGATCTGTATTATTTCAAAAATTACCCTTTGGGTTCTTTTATTTTATGCAACATTGTTTTCATATCATCACATCCTGTACTTGAGGCCAAACAAACTAAATAGTGTGTTTACAGTAACAGCCTGAAAAAAAAAAATCTTATTAAAACAAAATTATTTTGTGGTGTTTTTTTTCCCATCCCAGTTCATGCATTTGCATGTTCTTTTGCATTGTTTGAAACTCATTAACCATGTATATATGTATGTGTACTATTTTTTTTGGAAAATGACAATAAAAAGTTTGAGGTCGACAATTTGGCCACAAAAATTCTAGGTAGGTCTGGTTACCGTAAACACATAATATTTTTGTTTGGCCTGAGATAAAAACTTGTCAGACAAATGTTTTAGTAATTTCCTTCTTCCTGCCAATAATATCACCATAGATATCACTTAACAGGTTCTGCACGCAATGTGTTTTACAAGGTCTCAAGATAACCAGCTGTTAATTCTAATGGACTCTGAGCATAAAAGGTAGAGGGCGCTGTGTGACCACTTATAACAGCAGAGTGCACGCAACTTTTTCTCAGCAGAATGCACCGCGGGTCTGTTTAGCTGGACTGTGGATAGGGGCGTTTGTTACCGAAGTTTATATTCTTGGCCACGATGATAGATGGAAAGTGTACACACATGCTTACACACAATTTTGTTGCAACCTTTCCAATTTCATTGAGGAGTTTTCGTGTTTAGCCTGTGTAGAGAATAGCAAGTGACCAGATTCACTGAAACTTTACCAATACATGAACATTATCCAAAGTCACCAGTCAATTTGCTATTCATCAAGTATTGAACCTAGACAAGCCAACACTGTCAAAAGTCAGACTGATTTATGAGTCTGAAGAAATTACAGGTATTGTAAAAATTCTGGGTTGTTTGAAACTTTTTTTCAAAGGTGCTCCAAACTATTAAAGGTTTCATGGAAGGCAGTTGATGGGGTCATTAAGTGGTTCTCCAGGGGCAATGGAAGGTGAGGCTAATAATGAATGACTGTACATAAAAACTGTCAGCAACTACACACAAGGGAGAATTAACAGTGTTATTTATCATATAGTTGGCACAAAGTTCAAACATACACCTAGGAGGAAACCCAGACAAAGCTCTGTGGTATGCGGATGGCCCATGTAGTCAGTGGGTTTTGTGGGGGCCTATATGCACTTTTTGCCTATCCTGAACAAGTGCAACCACTTAATGCCATTTCCCCCCCCCCCCCCCCCCAATCAGGCCACATAAAAAAAAACGTGTTTAGCATCCTGCCTTTTTGAAAAAAAAAGGAAGCAGGCTTTTTGTTCCCCCTCCAAAATGGCCGCCCGACCTGGCTATTTTTAAAAATGGCCGCCATTTTTTTTTTCCAAATGGCCGCCACTGGACTCAGGATCAGGACAGACAAATATGCCAAAATGATGTCACTGTTGAAAGTGTATCATTTTTTCGGGGGAAAAAAAAGAAGCGGCCTCCAAAAAGGAAGCGGGTGGGGACACTTAACTTCTTTTCTTTTCTTTTGCCTGAAGGGCGAGGCCATGATTTAAAAAGTTGGGGGGGGGGTGTCATAGCGTGAAAAAAATACATATATCGATTATTCGATTCTACTTCTTGACTTTGCATTTCAACAGATCATCCATTTGCTACATGTACATCATGAGCAAACAACTGTTCAAGAATTTGCCTCTTCTGGAGGCAGGGCCACATTTTTTAAAAACGTGGGGGCAAAAGATGAAAATCAACAATCTAGCTAATACAGGCAATCTCAATTCAATTTTTGTAAAGGAATATTTGTGAATTGGGGGGGGGGGGGTTAGGCAGAATGTTTACATTTTCCAAAATTATTCTTCCCCTCTAGAAGTGGATCATGTATGTAAACTTGGAATAAATATGTACATGTACCGGGTACATGAACATTGTACAATTTACTTCAAGTTCAAAATTTTCTATTACAACGTGGTCCCCCCCAAAATTACAAAATTTATACAAAATATTGTATTAAATGTTCAGATTGATGATTGTATTCATCCCATCCTGCTTTTTGTTTCAATTTTGAAAATATATCGAAATTCCACAAAATAGTAAATCATTTTCACTTTTGGCATTCACATCTCTCAGCAATGTCTATTTTTAAATTAAGAAATTCGGAACACTTACATTTTCCTTGAGGTGCGGTATACCCGCATAAATGGGTAAGTCAAACTCGTCCGTCGAAGAGACTCCAATTTCCTCGGGAAAGAGAACCATAGTTGGCATTTCATCGCGACAGTTTAATTTGTCCTCCAAGTAAGCTAATCGGTGACTGAGAACGTTCACCAATCCCAGCAGCTGAATGTGGCTTGGATCGCGTTGATTGCGGAAGAAAACAGCCGACCGCAGCTTGTTCTTGTAATAATTTTGAAGGGACGCTTTTACACGTGTGTTGCTCTGTTTGGGCTCTGCGTTTGAAGGTAAACTTTTCGTCAGAGTTGTAGAACTTGTTTCTGAACTTTCAAGGATAGAAGGTGAATTTCTTGCTACAGTTTTTGAACTTGTTTCTTGGCTTTCAAGGGGTGAGATTGAATTTCCTGTCAAAGTTGTAGAACTTGTTTTTGAATTTTCGGGAGTTGGAGCACTGCCAGCACATGAGGGAGTGCTTTCCTTGTTTTGTCCTTCCATTTTCTTAGGCGGTTTTCTACCAGTTGAAGATGATTTTTGTCTGGTCTTGGGGACGAATATTGAACTGTACAGGAATGACTGCTGACCAGAAATGAGAATTCAGCACTCTTTCAAAATAAATACCAACAAAAAAACTTATTCCTTCCTCATTGGAACTGAGTCAAGCAGGACTTGAAGAAGTAAGAGGTCCCCTTAACAAATGGCTGATTCTCATCTTATCAGGGATGCAAAAATGAAGGCTACTCCCTAATGTCTGTTCCAATTTTGAAAAAAAAAAACTTCCAAGGGAATCGGCTGAGCTTCTGATTTCTTTAAAGGTATTCTTGGTTGAAGTTTTACAGCAGCATTTGTTCCCCTTCTTCAACTGATTGCACACTGCTCTGAAGACTGGCACTTGCAGAGTTTAGAATGGATGTGTCTAAACCAACAAAGTCTGGCACAGCAACACAATCAGTAGTCAAATCCTTACTGTTGGGGGGAATTAACTGAACCGCAAAGGCCAATCTGATGGGATGACTTTAATTGTGGTTGGAGTCTAAAAATAAACTCTTCCTTTTTTTCAGCTAACAATGCTGGATGTCTGCTGACAACCTGCGTTGATGCTGATTAATGGCCAGGTTCCTGGGGCTTTTATCCATCTTGAATAAATCTGGAGCTTTTTGGAGAAGTTTTCTGATTCTCAGCAGGGATTCAATTTGCTGGCTCCGTTGGTTCCTTTTGTCATCAGCATGAAACACACAAGAGACAGACGGGATGTCTTGGATTTGTCTTGAACTTCAGACTTAAGTTCAAGACCTTTTGACCCCAAAGTTTCTTGTTCTTTTTTCCCGACAACTAGTCAGTAGTTTTGTTCAGAGACACGCACACTTTTTTCTTCAATCAAAAAGTGGGGTAAAAATTACTGGAATGTCTCACGACAATTTGCGGAAAAAAATTATCAAAATTTAACAAGTCCTTGGTACAATAGCATAAAGTTAAATTTGACATCATTCAAGGATCACAACCACTTGTAAATTATATTGGAAGTCATGCACACACTGATGAAACTTCCTTGTTTTTGAGCGCTGAATATCCCCAAAGGAATGACAATGTTGAAAAGCTCAGCTGCTTCAGCTTGATATTTCCTGGAGATGTTCCAAGTGATGGGCTTCGTCTAATTGATCCTAGCCAAAGGCGACTTGCCGCAGGCTCAGACGATGCTCTGAGCTGATACAATCAATTGCCACAGCTGTCAGTGGACGTATTCTGTAACATTTCCTTGTTTTCTTTGAAATCTAAAAAACAAGTGTGCATTTTTGAGGGGTTTTTGGGTTTATTTTGGTGGATTTATTTTGTTACGGTTCCTCACTGTGGATTTTATTTCCACTCGATTGCTGAAATCTTGTTCGCGTGTTTCATCGTTGAGACCAACTTTGTTGGCTTTTTAACAAATAATTTCTCAGTGCAGTCTTGTGAAGTCACATGCTTCTGCTGATCAGATGAAGTGCTCCAACTTCTTTTGAGATTTGATCTTGCCTTATCACATCACAGCCTGAAGGAAAGAAAACACAAAACATCATTGACAGAGGATAACGGTACAACAAAATCATTGTAATTACTGGATTTAAATTACATATAAAATGACATACATTCAAATATAAGTGCAGAACTTGCATACTTGTACAACTACAAGATTAATCAACTCAAACTGTTTTCAAAAACTCTGTGTGTCCCTTATCAGTAAGCATAACACCAATATAACATATTTACAAAGAAATAAATGCGAAAAGCACATATCTCTCACAGAAGATACTGTATTTTGACTAATAACAGAATTTCAATGACTGTTGATTAGACATTTGGTTTGTACATATCCCTGAGGGGCTCAAATTCAAATAGCCCTACCCATTCGGCCTTTTGTCAGATTATTTTGTTTGGATGCCTAGTGTATGGCTTGTGGCTTGGACAGTTTGTATGAAAGGCTAAACTGGACAAAACAGTTTTTGGGGACCCTTAAGGGCTTCAAAATAGTTGGCATTCCTGAGGAACTTCCCTTATTGTTTGACGAATGCATGGTACATGTACAATGTACATTGTAAATTGTGCCTGCATTGGTGACATGTCCTTTGTCCTTCTCTAAATGCGTAATAGTTGACTGAAGGTCACTTTCCAAGATTTTCGATTTTCGTTTTAATGCCAGAGTTCACTGTTTTCATCCAGAGAAAATTGTTCCTTTTTCTGACAGCAGATTCAATCTAAATGTACATGTTGGTGTACCGTACCGGTACCTAACCGAGCAAAGTTTGGTGTTCAACATTGTAGGACATTTACACGTAATTGGCAAAGACACACAGAGTATAGAAATCACATTACCCTTGATCACTTACATGTAGGCCTACTCCACTAAAACTGCTGCATAAAAATTGAAGGGACAAGTTTGAGCATGTAAATGTCAGATCAAATTCGTTCATGTTTTGTCTTCATATTTGCTATAATTTGCTCAAATTGAAATCAACTACCCAGTACATGTACATGTACATACATTGTATTCTAAGAAATAGCTTACATGTTGTAAATCAACAGAAATCAAAAGAAATCCTGTTGTTGTAGTGCTGGATTTAGCAAGTTTAATACCGGTATGAACGTGTATTTTTCCAGTTTACATTTTACTTTACAATGTTACATTATTAGCCTGCACTAGTCCTTCTGAATTGAGGCATGCGATTGCATCCTTGGGGACGCCATCACATGACTATAAGCTTCCTGAGAAGTGCTAATAATCGCACGCCTGAATCCCTGTGTACCGCACACCTCATCATGCCATAATATGTACTTAATTAAATACATACATGTAGTTTGTGAAAAAAAGTACATCAGTGAAGAGAAAATGGCTTTACTGTAAACCAAGATGAACATTATTTTAAAAAAATATACCAGAATGGTCATTCCCCGCTTGGACCACACCATCACACGCCTAGAAAAAAATTTGTGTACCTTTTTCCACACGTCTGTGATTTTCAAATCAGAAGGACTGCTACACCCCTTAAATATTCAAAGATACTGAAAGGGAACATACAACATTTGCTTTTTCTGTAATTTTCAGAAATGGGTGGATTTGGGGCGTTAGTATTTGATAGCAAATATTGTTACACTTGACTTGTTTGAAATGTTGTGTATATATGGATGCTAGAAAAACCAAGAAAAACAATCATGTTCCTGAAGTCTGGTTCCCTGGCCCCACTTAACATGAAACAGAACCATTTAGACGTCGGGGAATTGTATGGTCAAAGAATCAGTCTAGCTGTCTTGTACCTGTTCGAACAGGTAGGTGTAATTGACCGAAAACAAAATGCAGACTAACTAAATACGGTAAATTGGGGGCAGTTTTTGAAGGAAAAAAAACCAGTTTTTATCAATGCTGGTCTGCTGACCAGCGTTGGAAATTGATACAAAAATACCACTTTTCTTGAAAATGACAGCGCAACAGGTGCCACGATTTTACAGGATGCTTTAGACTGTCACTCACTAACAGTAACAGTCCAGTAACGAAGGTATTTCATAATAATTTGGTGCATGTAGTTTTGTTTTTCGATGTTTGCAAATGTTGTATTCCCTTGAAGTCAAATCTTTCCATCTTTCCATCTCAACAAATTTCATCTTATAATTATCAAATCTTAACTTACCTATTATCTGGTCTCTTGACGAGTCTGTCAGTAGGTGCTCCCAAGTGACTCTCTGTGATTTATGGACACAGTTATCACTCCGAAAAGAAGGATGATATTGCAGTGACAAATGGCAACTCAATGAAGCAGGATAAATGGTGTTATGGATGTATTTCAGTTCATCACCAACAATGACAAACTACTCCGCAGACCACCAAGTCACCAAGAAGTAAAAACAAGACGTCCTTGAGTTTACACTGTCTTGTTTGAATTGGTTTGTGAAGCAACAACTGTACCAAACACTCATAAATCATCAAACCACTGGCCAACATATGGTACAAATGTGTATGTATGGTGATCGGATCAGGTTCTACAAAGTTGAAAAACTTGCGAATAAAGTCCAAAGAATGACCGCTGGCCAGTACTATTGACCAGTCCACTACTGTACGTAATCCAAACCCAACTCGTTGGTTCAAATTCTGATTTTCAAAGGTCCAAGGAATGTGCGTGGTATACCATACTTCCTACATGTGACACTCTTTCATACTGTGCACCAGCGCACTCTTAAGTTATGCTTCATTGGAGATCTCTGCGTAGGTTCTTTTGTCATAAATCCGCCCTCACTGATTGGGGGCCCCCATAAAAGCAATGCACTCTGCAAGCAGCGCTCCCAACCACTTGTGTCATCACGCATGAGAATGGGGCAGTGCCTGCCAATTGTTGGGGCTGTTTGCGGTAGGGATACCGGGCCTTTTATAACTCTCAGAGCATGGCTAGCCAGAAGCTACACAGACTTGGATCGTTGCATTAGTTAAAAGAACTATTAAAAACTAGTTGTTCTCATGTTCTATAGCAGTTTTATAACCTTCAGACCTATAGATACGTTTGTTGACTTTCAAAGAAAAAAGGAAGTTCGGTTGAAAACACAATGCACACGTAAACTTAAGTACATATCTAAAATGCTGTGGTTAACCATTATGACTGTAAACCAAATTCATTTGACATTTTTTTGGGGGGGAGGGGGGAGTAAAGAAAACCATCAGCCAAATTTACCCAAGTAAGATTACAAAATACAAGAGCTACCTGTGCGTCATGTACATGTACACGTAAACTACCGCTATAAACTATTTTTATCTCTAAATCACAAACATTCAAGGAAAAGTCTGGCACAGGAGCATCCTATTATACACGTTCATTCATGTAAAAACATGTCCCTATTCAAATGCAGACCCTAACCAAGGACACATTTACTTTATAAGTCATGCAGAAATGCTGCATTCAAACCACAAATTGTTTCCGGATTGTGCTTAACAAGCACTGACTCGTTACATGTACAGATGTAGGTGGGTGCTACCGATAGCTTGCTCTATAGGGTGCACTGAACCAATTCAAGCCCCATTGAAAACAGTGTAAAATCAACTATGTTCAGGGCCAAATAACATGCAAGCCGACATCACTGGGGTTTCTCAAACAAAAATTAAATTATTGTCTTGTACTTCATCTTTTCATTTCTTTTTTCAATTTTGGGTAGACTAGCCGATTACATTTTTAAATGTTCACACCAAAACAAAATCACCTCCCGAAAAGTGATAGTTCCCAAGCCTGCATGTACCGGTAGCCGCTTTACAAGTGGCATCCTTCCACTTTCTCAGGCAAATAGGACCCATTTTTCAACCGTAATTTTATCAAGCCTGCCCTCAGATGGAAGCCCAAAAACCAGGGAGTTGATCCTTTGATTTATATCACCCCGACGCAAAAATTCAATCTTATAAGAGTTGATCCTTGGCTACATTTACACAATTCCACCGTTTTTAAAGCCAAACGGTCTCCGTTTTCAAGAGAAACTGTGGGGTTACTTTTTACGCTAATCAGCTCGCGTAGATATTCTCACTTGAATTAATTCACTGCACTCTATAATGGTCTAACATTGTCAGGCTTATTCACATGAAGACATGTTACAGGCACTGACAAGCCGAAACACTTGGGACAATGCTGTGCACAAAAATATAGAAAGCACCAGTTACATATGTACAAGCTTGGGTTTCTGTGGTTTTACTTGGTGAAAAAAATAAACTTGAGAAAATGTAGAAGCTTCAGGTTATGTGTATGACTGAAAGGGAACAATAAACATACAATCGGTGTACACGTACATGTACATGTACATGTATGAACTCGGCGTTTATCAGTATTTATTCATGATTTTTGTGAGAATTCCATGACAACAGCGTCCATGGTTCTCCTTACATCAAAGCATGAGTTGTTTCATGACTTCTGCAGGAAATTCTGAACTAGTTTAAAAGTATATTTCATGGGTTGGAAAGGAATTTTGTCTTACATGTACATGTATGCACGCAAACATGTACACAGAGGTCCTGTTACATGTATGACGACTACAAATGACTACAGTGTGTACATGTAGCGCTCTAACTTGTATTTTAAGCACAGAATCACAATCAAAAGTGCATAATTCTGTAAAATAGCCATGAAGTGGGGCCAGACAGGACAGCCATTGTTATAAAGGGTGGATCATGGAGGATATATGGCTCCGCATACTGCTACACATGGCTGACATTGCTTTCAAATGAATTCACTCAACAAAAGGGGGCCTACCAGTATCTCTAATCTATGGCTGGCTGAACATTTAACCAGATTTCATGACTATGGTTGGTTGACTTTCAAGCCCACCAAAGTCCATTCAGTAGGATTCCTGCATTGTTACTAATCCTCTCACTTGGGAGAAAACATCTGGGAGACTCCTCTTCATTGACTGAATAGGTGACCCATACTGGAATGTCTGAGAGTTATGCAAATTGCAAACATGTTGTCCTCAACTAGGATCGGGATGAACTCTCTTTTCATCGTGTGGCGAAGGAAGAGTGTCGTCAATATGAAAACAAGTGCATGGACATTTACAAGTTAAAGATGGAGTAGATCTTTAGTCATTTGTGCATTACGGTAGTTTCATCTGAAGAAACAAAAGTTCTCAAAATCTAAAGACGGGTGCTTAACAACTAACCTGATGAATTTTTAGCTCTGTGACTCGACTGCTGTATATTCCGAGAAAACATATTCTAGGATTTTGATTTCAATTCAAACGTGGCCGAGTCATATTTTGAATTACGCCCGAAATCAACATCCAGATTCCTCAACACGTTCTCATTCAGCCAATTGCAGCTATGCTATGTCGCGCACTGAACCGAGGAATAACAGCAACAGTGCGCACATGTGCATCCTGTCAACGCTTGCGCACACCCATTTACGGATTCACTGAATTAACCCATCGCGGCAGAATTGCGTCAACGCAGCTTGTGAAATATTGTCCAATTACATGATAGACAAATGGACGCGAAACAAGCAGAATCTGAGACAAACAAAACTTAACGTACACAACTCCAGAGGGTTGTCTAAGGGGCGTGGCTAACTCGCAAATGGCAATAGGTGGATTACAAACCAACTACTAACGGAAATTTCCAAAAATGTGTCACTAGATGCGTCTTTGGAAAGGACCTTCTGTTACAGCTTGCCAGCTAAGGAATAATTTCACAGGGAGTTTAGTGTCATTACTACCTTTAAACCAGACGGGTTTCATTCCTCCATGCTTAAACCAAGTAATAATTTGGTCAAGATACTTTTTGGGTAGCTGCAAATGATCTACTCTACCTTAAACAGTACCACTTGGGTTTCTTGAATGTTTGGGGGTTTTTCAGCATATTGTCCTCTGAGTCACTGAGACTCTTGCGTCTAATATCTCAAGCAGGCAAGTCCTGTCTTGTGTTTAAAAGGATAAAGGACAAGCAATATTCCAAACACAACTTCACCCAAAGAACAGGGGTGTGAGTGACCACTGATATAAATAGCTGAAAACAGCTGGAAAAGGTGCAAAAAAGCTGAAATTTGGAAATCTCCTATGCTTTTGTACACAGCAAGCGAGGGAAAAAAGCTGAAATCCAAAACAAAAAAAAGCTAAAATCAGCTTTAAAGCTGAGATTTCACACCCCTGCAAAGAATGAAACTGTATGTCATTATGCTCCAACTTGGGAACCTGAAAAAAAAATTCTCCAATTACTCTACAGATATTTACTTGACAATATTCAGAGGAAATGCTTAAAAGTCTTACCTTTTTATCTTTTGTGTAGAATCTGCCAAGACTATCAGAGTCTAATACTGTCTATCCCAATTCATGTTCAGCGCTTCTCTCTGGAATTCAAAATACCGTGAGAAAAATTGAGGTGTCATCCTTTCAGATCTAGCTTTAGAACCATATAAACCAGTTATGTAAAACAATCTTTGCAATTTAAGGTTTCATTTCCTTATTCCAGTTTGTTTAGATAAAAGGGTCATTAAAACATTTTATACCTGATAAAAATAATACCGAACATAAACAAAGTCGGATATTTCCGTATACTTACATGTACACATGTAAGTACAATGTACTAGTTTCATTTTCATTGTGACTAGGATGTATGATAGATGTAGATTAACAAAATGCATGTCACAATGTACGGTATGTAAACAATACTAGGAAAATGCTGAAAATTATACGAACATTTTACATGTAATAAAAAACTGGCAAATGTATGTATTGATGCAGCATGCATGTCAGATGTTCCACTTTATTTTTCCCAACCCGTCCAAATTGCTCAAAAAAATAGCACAATTTGCCTTTCATGCATTACGTTCGATTGTTTCCAATAATAACACCGGTCACTCAAAATCCAAAGAAGAATGTTGAAAACCTACGTGTAACTTGTTGAAGTTTCAGCTTGAAATTGCTTTTTCAATATTTTGACTCTGAAGTAAATATTTGACCTTTTTATAAAATCGATCTTGCACAGTATCCCATCCATTGAAAACAGTCAATATCAATGCAAGTCTCCTGCATGAAAGGTCAGTACACTACATGTGCAATTATTTTGGCAGCAAACCAAAAAGTTTCATGAAGTTATTTGCTCTTCTAAATCCAGTGGGTTAAATGGCAATTTTGTATTAGTTGGCTTGGAACCCAATAGAGGGCGCACTTCAAATGGACAGCAGGCTTATAATTTTGGTGGGCGGATCACAGTACTCGTACACCTGTACAGAGAAACGTTTCAACTTACATGTGAATGAATTTCTACTTCATGTACAATGTATGTTTAAATGAGAATAAAAACTGGGGGCTGTCAATGTAAAACAAAGAACATGAACAATTCATTTGATTTAGATTGTGATATCTCTTTCTCTGTCACGTATCTCTTACATATTCCCATACTGTGGTTTGGGCACGTTGACATGACTTTACATACTGTGTTTGTTTATACATTAAATGTCGATTCTGTAATGAGCTTTGATCAGTTATGCTAGAGGCGCATTACAAATTTTTTAAATTATTATTAATTATTATTCAAAACAGAAACTATGTCAAATATGTCCTGAATATACATGTAAACTTGGCTAAGTTTAAAGTACTGTGTATGGAAATACCGTAGTTCAAAGTGCAAATCCCTTCAAGTTCAAAATTTCAATGGTCATTTCATTCATTTTCACTTGCATTACAATACTGTGGCTTTCATTTTTCATTTTTCAAACTTTCATTGTTCCTATTAACGCTATAGTTCACATGTCCACGTACAATGAACTGCCCTTGAGATCAGAATAGAACCAACACGATGTAGCAACAGGTTTCA